GTACTTGAAATAAATGCCTTCCCTTATTATCTCTTTTCCAGTTTCCGGACAAAACAAGATACACGCAAAAGAGCTCAAAGTCAAGAACAGGGGCGTGTTCAGCAGGATACAACGTTTTGGAACGTCCAGATATAAATATGCTATGTAGAACAAACATGCCTCTTCGACATGTACAATAATGAATCACGTCAACGTTTTGCAACTGAACGTGCCCTTATTCCCATTCAGGACACATTTGAGTTTTAAAATCATTTTTGTCCACTATCAATTAGGTTAAATGTAATCTCATACCAAATGTAGCCTAAACATAATATGGCCACGGACGTGTTGAAAAATAAGAAACAACGCAGCAGCTCTGTAGCCTAACAAATGAAAATATTTACGGTACTGCTGTGAAATGTATTTTGGATAGCCTATTTTAACGGAATTTGTAAACTTTTGTTAGCTTATGCTAGGCCTACTTGCAATTGAACTTTGTGAGCTGAGGCTCGGTGGAGTGAGGGATAGAGGGCTGATGACAGGTGAAAAGGGGGACGGGGAGAAAGAGTGGGGAGGGTAGGTGGGAGGTGATGATAAAGTCTACTTTAAATTTAACATTTACGTTTTAGTCATCTAGCAGATTCATTCATTCCCACTATAGTCCACTATAGTCCATTGGCACTTGCTTAAAAAGCCATTTGCAGACGTTATCACCTTCTCCTACCGCCACCCCTACTCCCCACTCCCCCCTCCTCTCTCTCCTGCTCTCCTCTTCCACTCTTCTCTCCCCCCCAAACTGTAAGACGCAAGGAAACTCAGTTTACCCACCTTTTATTTGTGATGGTTTACCCACCTTTTATTTGTGATCAAGGTTTACCCACCCTTTTACCACTACATCCATGACTCCAACCCTTTTACCACTACATCCATGACTCCGGATAGGCTGGCTAAGGTAAGTTTACAAGGCTACATTAAGTGCAGGGAGCATACGTTATAATAACTTAATAGCACTTTATAATTATAACACGTAAATGTATTAGCTATAGGTTTAACTTTCATGAATAATCATTCATAAACTGATTATAAACTAGCGTGCATAAGTATTTCATTTTTTTTTGTAGTAGTAAACATTTAGGTTTATAATTATTTTTATATAATTTGAGTCCGAATACATGTAGGCTATCCAATTATAATCTCTAAACTAAAGTGGGTCTGTGAACGGTATATAAAGTTCACTCTGGAGAGATCCTATTCAGAAGAGCCTCCTGCTGGAGAAGAGAGAGAGGTGACCTGGAAGCAGAAGCGTGCGTAATTCATAGGCTACAATGGCAAGACCGCGAATTGAGGTGAAAGAGGCGCTGACAATGCTACGAGATTTGGATTAAATGGAGTCAGATGGACGGGAGGAACTTGATGCTGAGATCGACTATGATGATGAATGGGGGAATTCTTCAATAGATTCGATGCTGGCTGCGATTCTTATTATGAGCCTGATCTGCCTCAGACTCGGCACAAGAGAGGCGGAACGATGCCCCACCGTGCAGGTGTCACCAACTCAGATGGAGGGAGAGGAGAAGGGGAAGGAGGGCACGGTTTGGATAAAACAGCCAGTGGACAACGCTACAGGTCGATTATCAGCACAGAATGGCACCCCATTGGAGTCGGGCCCTACACCTTATCCCAAAGGTAGAATCGACAGAGCATTCGACAGCTTTCATTGTTTATGTGACATGGAGATGTTGCAGCACATCAAGGACTGTACTGTAGCTGAGGCGCGCCAGGCGAAAGGAGGCAAAACGTGGGACATATCTGTGGATGAGCTGGAAGCGTTCATTGCGCTCCTGTATGTCCGAGGACTGTACCGCGGAATGTCCACGCCTTTGGAGAGCTTCTGGAACTAAAAATATGGGGTGATTTTTTTCCGAGATACCATGCCACGGAACAGCTTCAGAGAAATCATGCGATACCTGGAAACTGACACATTTGCCCTGGTATCAGAAGTTTGGGGCGCGTTTGTACAGAACTGTGTTGCCTCTTACAAGCCAGGAGTTAACATTGCCGTTGAGGAGCAATGGTTCCCCGCAAAAGCTAAATGCAGCTTTACGCAGTACATCCCCTACAAGCAAGACAAGTGGGGCATGAAGTTTCGGTTGGCAGCTGACGTCCATAGCAAGTATGTGCTGAATGTCTTTCCATATCTGGGGAAAGGTGAGCAGCCTGAAAATGTGGTGATGCGACTTGTGGAACCTTACCTTGGTGAGGGGAGAAATGTCAACACGGACGATTTCTTCACCTCACTGCCATTGGCAAATAAGTTGATTGACAAAAATACAAGCTTAGTTGGTGTTATTGAAGCGAGCCGGGGGCTGCCTCCCTCTGTGAGCAACCAGGCACAGGCAGAGCTGTTCTCCACAACCGTGCTGAAGCACGACAAAGCGACACTTACGGTTTACAGATGTAAGCCAAGAGAGAACGTCTGTATCCTGAGTACTATGCATCCGACAGTTGCCATTGGTGGTGACACAAAGAGAAAAACAGAGACGCTGACGCACTACAACAACACAACGGTATGTTAAAACATTAGGCTATTGCGCACCTAGCCATACACCTGCCATGCACGGTGCTCTTCTGTTGTAGCTAAATAATTCTAACTTATAGTACTGTATTCTATTCCAGGTTGGTGTGGATAAGATGGCCAGACAGTTCACGGTGAAAGCAGCTACCCAACGCTGGCCTGTTGCCGTATTCTACAACCTGCTTGACCTGGCTGCTATCAACGCGCACGTTTTGTTCACCCTGTGCACTGGTAGGACAATGCCGAGGAGAGAGTTCATCATGCAGCTGGTATTGGAGCTTCGTGAGAACCACATTAGGGCCGGGGGCAAGGCAGCAGCGCACGACGTGCCAAATGACGCACCACCGCTCTCGGAGAAAAACATACAGTGCCAGGTGCACGGATAATGCGTAACAAAAACTGCGACTTCTGCGGGACCTGTAAGCGATTTGTCTGCGGAAAGTGCTCATTCAAGAATAACGATTTGTCGAAGATTTGTGTTGACTGTCATGATATGTCACTGTAAGAGATCCTTCTGCTTAACGGACAAACTGCTGCTATGCGTAAAGGCACACATGCCCGAGAGAGGCCACAACGGGGTCATTAATGACTGACACCAGTATAGGCTGTTTATACGACTGACACTTATGCTTGTTATATTATTTTATAATACCATTATTGTTTTACATTTGCTCATTGTACACTTTATTGAGCTGACTTGGCCCATTTAGCCCTATTGACAGTGCGTATTTTGGATACACCTACAGTGGGGAGAACAAGTATTTGATACACTGCCGATTTTGCAGGTTTTCCTACTTACAAAGCATGTAGTCTGTAATTTTTATCATAGGTACACTTCAACTGTGATTGACCGTCATCTTGAACTTCTTCCATCCCAGCCTTGTGCAGGTCTACAATTGTATCCCTGATGTCCTTACACAGCTCTCTGGTCTTGGCCATTGTGGAGAGGTTGGAGTCTGTTTGATTGAGTGTGTGGACAGGTGTCTTTTATACAGGTAACAAGTTCAAACATGTGCAGTTAATACAGTTAATGAGTGGAGAACAGGAGGGCTTCTTAAAGAAAAACTAACAGGTCTGTGAGAGCCAGAATTCTTACTGGTTGGTAGGTGATCAAATACTTATGTCATGCAATAAAAAGCAAATTAATTACTTAAAAATCCTACAATGTGATTTTCTGGATTTTTGTTTTAGATTCAGTCTCTCACAGTTGAAGTGTACCTATGATAAAAATTACAGACCTCTACATGCTTTGTAAGTAGGTAAACCTGCAAAATCGGCAGTGTATCAAATACTTGTTCTCCCCATTGTATAGCCTACTAGCTAGCCTACTTAGACTATAGACTAACATAAGAAAGGCTGTTATAAAAAGAAGATGCTTCTATATTTCAGTTACTGTGACTGTGATTTCTGTATCGTTCTTTTCGCTAAAATCTACTAATAAAATGGAGTTACCATTTAAAATGTGGTGTTTCTTTCCCTCAATAAAAACAGAACAACCTCTGCTATTATAAAGGTCTACAACTCTAAATGTAGTCAAGCAGCATGGCCTATGGTAGGGTCACCGGAAAACCTGTGGTGAGGCGGCATTTGCAACAGCGCTTTTCAATCTTTTGGTTTAGTTTATTAAAATACAGTATGTGAATGGGATCAAATTTGGTTTATATTCTTGTGACACCAATACTTTTTCAATCCAAAATGATTCACTTGAATTTATCAATAAACACAATAGCTGACAGACTGTGAGTACATTTTTTTAATAAGGCCTGCAGTTGCATAGGGCAGAACTATACGATGCAAGCCTGCATAAAGCAAGCTCAGCCCTGTGCGTTTCATTGTCCATCAAGTTGCTTCTCTGTGTCTGTGTATAGGAACCCCCCCCCCCTCCTTTAAAATAGAATGAATATGAAGTACAAGTTTGCTGCAATTTGACAGGGGTTTCATCCTCCCCAAGTTCAGGAGTTTTTCCAGGAATTAAAAAAACGTGACCTGATTAGAAAAACTTTGGTCCCATCATAGCCCATATTAAACCTTTTTAGATTAATCACGTCATACTGTATAATGTCCAGAGTTTTACCTGGTTAGGTTCGCAAATCAGGAAAAACTATGGGCCCCAGATGTTTTTTTTCCCGCCACATCACTCTGGGTCCTGAGGGACAGCTTTGGTATAGGCCACACAGGCTAAACTCATGAAATCTATACCTAGGCTAAACTTTTAGAATGCAACAGAGCCTAAACCAAATGATGACTTGTCTTCTGCAGAAGTTTACTTATAGTATATTCAGCTACTGTACATAGTTTAGCAACATTTTTACATTTAAGTCATTTAGCAGACGCTCTTATCCAGAGCGACATACAGTTACTGCATACATTATTATTTTTCACACCCGGGTCTTTATTTTGACGGAGAGTCTCTGGCTTCGGAACTGGGCAATGCAACCTGGAGAGGATGCGGCTGTTTGTGGATGGAAGGGCAGCACTGTCCCGTGGGAGGTCGAGTTGATTATGTTGTCTTTCATGAGGTTCCTTGATTGGTGAAGCGTGTAGAGGCCAACCGCTGATAAACCCCACTGAAGAAGAAGAAGAAGAAGAAGAAGAAGAAGAGTGTAGTGCGGACGAAATGGAGGAAATTGAGAAAAGTTGGTGAAGTAACAGCTGTGCTGGAATGCGAACAATATGGGTGTCAGTTCTGATGGTATGGAGCGGGAGGATGAGGGTCAAGGACCGGAATGGTCAGTAGTGGAAAGACATAGGAAGAAGAGAGATCATGATATAGAAAGCAGTGGAGCATCTAGTAAAGAAAGCATAAAGAGGGCCAATGTAGGAAGCAAGAGTAGTGATGTGTTGGAGTGGAAAGTGGTGATAGTGTTTGATGAGACCACAGGGCCTCACTTACACCCTATCCGACTAACTAATACCATAGAGAAAGAGATAGGTGAAGTGAAATTAGCTTGGTTCATTGGAAATGGTAGATTGTTAATATTGTCTGGTAGCCAGCCTCAGCAAGAGACGATTTTGAAAATGGAAAAGCTTAATGGGAAGAAGATTAAAAGCCATCTCCCTGGTGCGTATGCTAGATTGAGGGGAGTTATCACTGGAGTCCCAATATCTATGTCCACAGATGATATTAAAGAAAATGTGAAGGGAGGCAGAGTGATTGAGGCCAAAAGATTGATCAAGAGGGTCAAAGAAGTGAAAGCTTATCATTGATGCTGAGGTTAGAAAAAGTATTGCCGGGAAAAGTACAGATAGGATTCCTTAGTTTCAATTTGTCCCATATGCACTGCAGTGTTTTAAATGCCAAAGAATGGGACATGTAGCTGCTCAGTGTAAAGGAAGGAAAAGATGTGCCAAGTGTGGAGGGGCACATGTTTACCGTGAATGTGGAAGCAATGTGAAGGTTAAGTGCTGTAATTGTGGGGGAGAACACAGTGCAGCATTTGGTGGATGCCAGGTACAGAGAGAGGCTAGAGAGGCTCAGAGATATAGGATCAGTCATGATGTATCTTATGCAGAGGCCGTAAAACAGATTGGTAGAACTACAGTGCGGACTGATGGAGCTTACATAGATGTACCTGTAATAAGTGGACCTACTGTCGGGGGTGGTGCTTCTGCTGGTCCTGGCATGGTTTCGAGGACTGTTCAGAAATCTTGTGCTCATGAATGTGCGGTGTCAAAGGACGCTTTGATAATGAATCAAGTTGACTTCATGGCTTTTATTGGCAAGGTTATCAATACGACTCAGGTTGTGGAAAGCAGAAATGCCAGGTTAAAGAGATATTGGGGTAACAGATGTTACTGTTGAAATGGTTGTTGACATGCTGAACAATCCTAAGGGTGGAGTGTTTCAGCATGATATAGATAAAGTTTAATGGGGTTGGGTATGGTTGATTTTCAAGGCAGTACAGAATTGGGCAGATCATGATTGATCGTACATTCCAGCACAGTAGGTGGCGGCATGCTCTTAAACGATTGTTTGCGGACCGCCATAATATCATAGAAAAAGAGGAAGAAGAAGAAAAGGAAGAGGAGGAAGAAGAGAAAGACGGAACCACTCACCCCTAGCGCTTTCTCGAAAACGTGAATTTATCGAGACGAATTGGTAAAATAGAATAAGGGAGAAAAGCAAGTAAGTATAGAACTATGGAATTGCATTAGTTCGGTGTTGTTTTTGTAATTTATAGCAAAGAAACGTGGAATGTGATGAATGCTAGCCTGTACATTATCGTAGCCATTTACTGTAGCTTTTAGCTATGTAGTGTAGCTACGTTGGTAGAGCATGGCGCTTGCAACGCCAGGGTTGTGGGTTCGATTCCCACGGGGGGCCAGTATGAAAATGTATGCACTCACTAACTGTAAGTCGCTCTGGATAAGAGCGTCTGTTAAATGACTAAAATGTCAAATGTAGTCCGCTAGCCCAGACTGATTCCTAATAGGACCCGGAATCAAGCTGATGAAGCAGATTCAGTGTTTTGTCAACTAGTTAGCTACATAGGCCACATCGATCATGTTTACATTCCTAAAGATCGCAAATTATTTGATCAGTCTCCAAACTTGGCTAGCTCAGTGGCCTTGTGGTTAGGGTCTGCCCTGAGATTGGAAGGTTGTGAGTTCAATCCCTGGCCGAGTCATACCAAAGACTGTAAACATGGGACTTGATGCATCTCTGCTTGGCACTCAGCATTAAGGCGATAGATTGGGGGTAAGGCCCTGCGATAGACTAGCGTCCTGTCCAGGGGGTGTACTTGCTAAATAGCCTCACGGGGGGGCAGTATGAAAAATGTACGCACTCACTCATTGTAAGTCGCTCTGGATAAGAGCGTCTGCTAAATGACAAAAAATAAATAAAAATTAAGCTGCCTCGTTCTACAGAAACAGTAGATAGGGCAGGAGCCTATGAGCCGTTCCGGCTCGCACAAGCCAAGGCACTTACTAACTTGGCTAGCTACCTAGCTGATGTTTACATGACTAAAACAATGGATAGCCAGCTACAATGGCTAGCTAGCAAAGACTGTTGCCTTAATTTCACAAGGTTAGCCTATTTTAAAGTAATAATCTTCAAAATCAAGGTTTAAAAGCACCAATGATGAGCAAGCCTGGGTACCATCATGCCACTCCTTGTCATGCCAAACTGTTTGGCATATGTCACGGAGTACAAGGAGTGTAATGTTAACACAAACAGATACCCAGGCTACCAATGAGAAGCTGAGGTGGAAATATTAGCAATAATCATTTGTGGTTTAACATGTTAATGAATAATTTCCCATATGAGAGGCAGTGCAATTTTAAGGAGTAATGGCATTACATCACTGATATAGTGTACCTATATGCACACAGTACCAATATTGCTAATCACAATATTCTTTGTGTTTACAGGTCAATGGTTGGTTGGTAGTGGGACCTCCTTGCAGCCTTTATCACGTGAGGGACCAGCTAGCCTGCCTTACTACATTCTACACAGATTCTGTCTCTGGAGAAATTGGAGGGACACAAACGTTGGTAGTAACAGATCCACCTCCTCTGAATCCAGGGAAATGTTTTCCCCTGGGAAAAAAAAACGGTTGACTGAGCAAAGGTAAGATGATCACATTCACCACACAGTAAGAACAGATGACCAGATCAAAATGAGTCTATGGAAAATGAATGTGTCATTTGGAATACACAGTAGGGCATGTTCATTGAAGTGTTAGTATTTCATATTGCACAGAGACCTGCCCTATAGAAAATAAGAAATACTTTTATTTGCCAATTTGACAGGAAAGCCTCTGCCTCCCATGTGGGGGAACTCCGCAATAAGTTAAAAGCCATCCTGAAGAAAAAGTATCAAAGTCCGCCAGGGGGGGAGACTGAGCATCCATTTTATATACATTGCGATCTCCACTATCAAGCTGGTGAAAGTAGCAAGGGGAACCAACATGAGTATATTTTAACTGAGCCAGGCTACAGGAGAAGACACCAAGGAACATGCTCATCCCTAAACTCAGGAGTCGATGAGCCTATCAGAACAGCTCTGACAAAGGGCGTCTCTGGTATTGGCAAAACTAGCCAGGTGCGTCAGATCATTCTTAACTGGGCAGAGGGAAAAGGAAACCAGGAAGTCCATCTCATATTTCCCCTTCCTTTCCGGGAGCTGAATTTGCTGAAGGAGAGACTGAGTCTGATTGAACTTCTTTACGAGTTTTTCCCAGAATTGAAAGAACCTGGAATTTCCAACTTGGAGAACTGCAGAGTTGTGTTCTTCCTTGACGGTCTGGATGAATTCCGTCGTCCTCTCGACTTCAAGAACAGCCTGATGGTGACCGATGTCACAGAGGCTTCCTCCGTGCCGGCACTGCTGACAAACCTCATTATTGGTAATCTTCTTCCCTCCGCCGCTCACATATGGATTACCTCCAGACCTGCGGCAGTCAGTCGCATCCCTCTTCAATACATTGACAGAGTGTCAGAAATCGAAGGCTTCACCGACTCACAGAAAGAGGAGTTCTTCAGGAGAGCAATCAATGACAAGAACCAGGCTAAAGCTGTTATCACCTACTTGAAGAACTCGAAGGGCCTCTACGACTTGTGCCAGATACCTTTTATCTGTTCGATCTCAGCGTCCATACTCGAGAAACAGACATATGTACCCGACAAAACATGCGAACCTGTCGCACTAACTCCATTATTCAACGACCTACTCATCCTGTTACAAATGGAGCGCCGCAATGTAAAGATGGTTGATGAATTGGGGGATCTAGCCTTTAAGCAATTGGTGAAAGGCAACACAGTTTTCTACGAGGAAGACCTACGAGAGTGCAACATTGATGTCCAAGTGGCAGCCATGTACGCAAAAGTGAACATACCCATCTTCAGGGAGGATATTGGGCTGCACCAAAAGAAGATGTACTACTTTGGGCATACTACCATCCAGGAGTTCTTCGCCGCAATGCGGTTTCTTCAATCTGTTGGCAGCCAAGATGAAAACCGTGCTGACGAACGGAAAACCAAGATCGAGAGAACTCTCTGGTTTTTTGGAGATGCCACCCAACTCAAGAGCGCGGTGGACATGACTTTGCGGAGCAAGACCGGACATATGGACCTCTTCCTTCGCTTCCTCCTCGGCATTGCGCAGAACTTTAACCAGATGTTTTCAGAGGCTGGTTTCACCTCGTCTACTGCCCTTCCGGAAATGTTAGAGTACATCAAGAAGAAGGTCATGGAGAATCCCTCTTCACCGAGGACCCTCAACTTGCTGAACTGCCTGAGGGAACTGAAAGACTACTCTCTAGAAACTGATGGCATGCGCTTTCTCGAGACGGGAATCCCCCCAGATGCCAAATATCCACCTGCACATTGGTCCGACCTGGCCTCTCTGTTAGTGGCATCGAAGTCTGGGTCGACAGACATGTTTGGGTTGGAAGTAGAGAACAGAGGAGACAAGGAACTTCTGAGGATGCTGCCAGTGATCAAAGCTTCCCAGAGAGTCATGTAAGTACTTGGTCATTTAATAATACCAGCTATTATACAGTGCCCTCCACTAATATTGGCACCCTTATTAAACATGAGCAAAACGGCTGTGAATGTTTTTCTTTATTTATCCTCTTGGCCTTTCATTCAAAAAATGTACAAAAATCTAACCTTTTAATTAATGTAAAATAATTGAAAGAAAAAATATTCTTATCATAAAACAAATATTTCTCTCATATGTGAGCCACAATTATTGGCACCCCTTTATTCAATACTTTGTGCAACATCCCTTTGCCAAGATAACAGCTCTGAGTCTTCTCCTATAATGCGTAATGAGGTTGGAGAACACATGGCAAGGGATCTGAGACCCTTCCTCCATACAGAATCTCTCCAGATCCTTCAGATTCCAAGGTCCAAGCTTGTGGACTCTTCTTCAGCTCATCCCACATGTTTTCTATTGGGTTTAGGTCAGGGGACTGGGATGGCCATGGCAAAACCTTGATTCTGTGGTCAGTGAACCATTTTTGTTTTGATTTTGAGGTGTGCTTTGGATCATTGTCCTGCTGGAAGATCCAACCACGGCCCAGTTTAAGCTTCCTAGCAGAGGCAGTCAGGTTTTGATTTAATATCTGCTGGTACTTGGAGTCCATGATACCATGAATCCTAACAAGTTGTCCAGGGCCTTTGGAAGAAAAACAGCCTCACAACATCAAAGATCCACCACCATACTTTTCAGCATGGCCATCTTTCTGTCTATGCCAAACCCACTGGTGTTTGTTTCCAAAAAGCTATATTTTGGTCTCATCTGACCATAGAACCTGGTCCCATTCAAAGATCCAGTTACGTTTGGCAAACTGTAGGCGCTTGAGTTTGCTGTTTGATGACAGCAAAGGCTTTTTTTATGGCAACCCTCCCGAACAACTTGTGGTTATATAGGTGTGGCGTCTGATCGTAGTTTTGGAGACTTTCTGACCCCAAGACCCAACTAACGTCTGCAATCCTCCAGTTGTGATCCTTGGATATTTTTTGGCCACTCTAACCCTCCTCCTCACTGCATGGGGGCAATATAGACACACGTCCTCTTCCAGGCCAATTGTTAACATCTCCAGTTGCTTTACATCAACAATCCCGTCTGGATTACTGCAACTCGCTGTTGGCTGGGCTCCCTGCCTGTGCCATTAAACCCCTACAACTCATCCAGAATGCCGCAGCCCGTCTGGTGTTCAACCTTCCCAAGTTCTCTCACGTCACCCCGCTCCTCCGCACACTCCACTGGCTTCCAGTTGAAGCTCGCATCTGTTACAAGACCATGGTGCTTGCCTATGGAGCTGTGAGGGGATCGGCACCTCTGTACCTTCAGGCTCTGATCAGTCCCTACATCCAAACGAGGGCATTGCGTTCATCCACCTCTGGCCTGCTGGCTCCCCTTCCTCTGCGGAAGCATAGTTCCCGCTCAGCCCAGTCAAAACTGTTCGCTGCTCTGGCACCCCAATGGTGGAACAAGCTCCCTCATGACGCCAGGACAGCGGAGACATTTGAAACCCCACCTCTTTAAGGAATACCTGGGATAGGATAAAGTAATCCTTCTACCCCCCCCCCCCCCCCCCCCTAAAATAAAAAATAAATAAAAAAATAGATATTGTAAAGTGGTTATCCCACTGGCTATAGGGTGAATGCACCTATTTGTAAGTCGCTCTGGATAAGAGCGTCTGCTAAATGACGTAAATGTAATGTAAATGTCTTTAAACTTCTTAATTATTGCCCTGATAGAGGAATTGGCATTTTCAACTGTTGAGCTATTTTCTTATAGCCATTTCCTGATTTGTGCAGCTCAACAACCTTTTGTTGCACATCATTACTGTGTTCTCGGGTCTTTCCCATAGTGATGGATGACTATGGGAACTTGAGCTGTGTGTCACCTCATATTTATACCCCAGTGAAACAGGAAGTCATGGCTTACCACTTAAGTGTTCCTAATCACTCAGGTGAATTTAGCGTAAAATATGAATGGGAATATACTTCAGTTAGATTTTTTTCACAGCCCGTTTTGCTCATATTTACCAAGGGTGCCAATATTCGTGGAGGGCACTGTATATCGATATGAAATGTCCGTAACGCACAAGATAATTGTCATCAAAATGATGTAATTCAAGTTTGTTGGGCTCGTCTTACAGTTTTGGTGGTTCAAGTGGCTACTAGTATGACTTCTAATGTTCTTTTTCCTTAAACCCTCCCCACCAGGCTGTCATATCACAACCTGACTGAGAAATCCTGTGAATGTCTGGCTTCGGCGCTCACCTCAAAGGTGTCCAATCTGAAAGCTCTGGACCTGAGTTTCAACACGCTGAAGGACACCGGAGTGCAGCTACTGGCGACCGGCCTGGCCAAGCCACACTGCCGACTGGAGAGACTGAACCTGTCCGGCTGCAGGGTGAAACAGGATGGCTTTGCTGCTCTGGCCAAAGCTCTCAAATCCAACCCCTCGCACCTGCGAAAGCTGGATCTGAGCGGCAACGAACCGGGAGAATCGGGGGTGTTTCATCTCATTGACGGACTAAAGGTTGTTAAGTGCGAACTGCAGATCCTGAAGTGAGTATTGAATCAATGAGTATTAAATAAATGTCCACAGAACCTGTTGTTCTGATTATGTGTAGGCTTGCTTTACCCCCACTTGTAATATCCTTCGGTAAGGAAATACAGTTGTTGTCTTCTAATTTTATTTTAATCTTTATTAGGCTTTCAAACTGCAAGCTGGGCCTGGAGCTGTGCCAGGCTCTGGCAGTGTTGCTGATCGACAACCCCAGACACCTGAGAGAGCTGGACATCAGTCTGAACAACCTGGGAGACAGGGGGGTGGAGCTGCTCATGGATTTACTGAAGTTGACCCAGATTTACAAATTAGAGTGGGTACCAATAAGGGACTGAATGTGTATTGCGACCACACACTGAATCAGAAGTCGAATATTCACTGTAATAAATGAACCATCTCCTTTCAACCAGGTTGTACTGTTGTCAGCTCACTGAGAAATGCTGTAAGCACATGTCTGGATGTCTGGTGAACATCCCCAGTCTGAGGGAGCTCAACCTGAGCAACAACAACCTGAAGGACGAGGGGGTCAAGATGCTCTGCAACGCCTTCGGACTGCCCGGCTGTCAACTGGAGAAACTCAAGTAAGTTAGCTAGCTCACGGAGAGTTGTGCCCAATTCCATGTACACCAGATTAAATCAATTTAGACAATTTTGGCGGGCCAAAACAAATCACTTATGGGCCGAATTTTGCCCGCTGGCCGCCAGTTTGCTTTGCTGGCCATATGAGCTGAATAGCATAACACATTCAAACTTAGCGAATTTGTATATGAAATTTGTATTTTTGCTATCTTATCATTTTCCAAACTCCTTTGATACCATACATGCATATTAAATAATAAAATAATTGATTAATTAATCAATGAATTGACATTGAAGAGTGTTGCCCTTCTTCCGTCTCTTCAGTCTGGCGCGCTGTGGCTTCACGTCTGAAGGCTGTCGTTGGGTGGCTGGAGGGTTCAGTTTTGGCCCCACCTTCCTCAAACAGCTGGATATCAGCAGGAACCACCTGGGTGACTCGGATGTTGCCGCGTTCTTCCTGTTCCTCAAAACGATACGCTTTTCACTGGAGACCCTACGGTGAGTACAGTGATTAGACTGTACAATTGTAGAAGGCCTAACTGTTCACCATTGATTAGTTTAGTTGATAGATATATTTTATAATTGAAATGGCACATCAGTGAACAAAACTACTGAGGATTTAAAGGGACTGTACACTCAAATCAAATGAGACTACTTTGGATGTCTAAACATTTAACAATCTTTGATTTTGGACTGTAATGTTGTGTGTATTTGTAGAAAATTTGCTCAAATGTTAAATAGTCTCCCCCCCCACACACACACACACAAACCTAGAGTGAGTGACTGTAAGCTGACAGAGCGATGCTGTCCGGAGCTGGTCGAAGCTCTCAGCTCCAAGCTCACCAACCTGAAAGAGCTGGATCTCTCTAGAAACGAACTGGGAGACAGCGGTGTAAAAACAATCTGCATGGGACTGACCTCAACAACCTGTAAACTGGAGAGACTGTTGTAAGTAACATGTTGACAGTGTTCATACTGTATTATAAGGATATTCACAAAAAAATGCATTTATAATGCCTTGTTGAATGAGGTGAAGTGAATATCCTCTGTCTCTCCCCCCCCCAGTCTGAGATGCTGTGGGATCACAGCAGAGGGCTGCTCCTCCCTAGCCTTAGCCCTGAAGTCCAGCCACTCCAGCATCACAGAGCTAGGCCTGATGGGAAATGACACAGGAGAAGATGGACTGAGAATTCTCTCTGCCATCAGGGACGACCCACGCTACAAACTACAGACTCTAGAGTAAGTACTGGTGCCATCGAAGCTCAGAAAAGTTACCTGTTAATGTTATCATACAAACAGTGTAAAATGTTTTTTTCTTTCTTGAACTTGAAAGATATTCTCTAGATATACTCTAGAGATGCTGCCCTCTTGCTTTAGCTTCTTTGAGAAATGTTACCAATAGGTTTTTGTCTACGTATTCATAATTTGTAGGCCTACATTAGTGCGATGTAATGAGCTTGGCCTACAGGTTTTATTTGTTATTAGTCCATTTGTTAAAGTTATTCTTCTTTCCAGAATAAACGATTGAGAGTGGCTTTGCTCGCTGGAGGTGGTTCTCGGCTCAACCTTTTCCCAAATCTGGAGTGAAGTTACTTAATGAGGAACACTCTGGAGTGAAGATACGAAAAGATTGGCTCACAAGACTCGACACACAGTACTTTCAGGTCAACAGTAGGCACTTGACCTGCTTTGGACCAAATTGACTGATTCACTGACTTTTGAACCCTTTTAAAATACCTTACAGTGTCATGCAGTGAGCTGTATCCTGGCTGCTCACACTTGAACAGAAGGCCAATGATTATTAACCTAGAAACAGATATTGGCTGAAAGTGGCTGAAATGACACACACAGTGTTACTAACTCTGTTCCTCTGGTCTTGCTACATTATCAACCCATTTAGCCTTTGCAGAAGCTTTACAATATGTTTTGCACGTTAATATGTACACCAGAATGTATAGCCTTTGTAACAGGCACCTCTGCTCCTCAAACACACGTGACCGGCCTCTTGAGAACGTTGTCTTAGCCAACTACAGTACGAAATGCTAGCAGTTTGGTGGAGTGAGGTTACGAATCCATTTCAGTCACGCATTCTCTGAGGGAGAAGGATGATGCAGTGTTTTTCATTTTAACACTGGCACATTACCTTGGTTTAGTCTTGTTTTTCAATGTTTTTTATTTATTTTATTTCTTTTGAAAGTGCGTTTTCATCAAGATGACCAAATGTATCAGAATGTATACAGTAGTACAACTCTGGGTTGATTTACTATTGTTGGGTTCAATGTACATTTTACCCAAATATACCTAGCTACAGTGAGGGGGGGAAAAAAGTATTTGATCCCCTGCTGATTTTGTACGTTTGCCCACTGACAAAGACATGATCAGTCTATACATTTAATGGTAGGTTTATTTGAACAGTGAGAGACAGAATAACAACAAAAAAATCCAGAAGAACGCATGTCAAAAATGTTATAAATTGATTTGCATTTTAATGAGGGAAATAAGTATTTGACCCCTCTGCAAAACCCTTGTTGGCAATCACAGAGGTCAGACGTTTCTTGTAGTTGGCTACCAGGTTTGCACACATCTCAGGAGGGATTTTGTCCCACTCCTCTTTGCAGATCTTCTCCAAGTCATGAAGGTTTCGAGCCTGACGTTTGGCAACTCGAACCTTCAGCTCCCTCCACAGATTTTCTATGGGATTAAGGTCTGGAGACTGGCTAGGCCACTCCAGGACCTTAATGTGCTTCTTCTTGAGCCACTCTTTTGTTGCCTTGGCCGTGTGTTTTGGGTCATTGTCATGCTGGAATACCCATCCATGACCCATTTTCAATGCCCTGGCTGAGGGAAGGAGGTTCTCACCCAAGATTTGATGGTACATGGCCCCGTCCATCGTCCCTTTGATGTGGTGAAGTTGTCCTGTCGCCTTAGCAGAAAAACACCCCCAAAGCATAATGTTTCCACCTCCATGTTTGACGGTGGGGATGGTGTTCTTGGGGTCATAGGCAGCATTCCTCCTCCTCCAAACACGGCGAGTTGAGTTGATGCCAAAGAGCTCGATTTTGGTCTCACTTTCACCCAGTTCTCCTCTGAATCATTCAGATGTTCATTGGCAAACTTCCGACGGCCCTGTATATACAGTGGGGAGAACAAGTATTTGATACACTGCCGATTTTGCAGGTTTTCCTACTTACAAAGCATGTAGAGGTCTGTAATTTTTATCATAGGTACACTTCAACTGTGAGATACGGAATCTAAAACAAAAATCCAGAAAATCATATTGTATGATTTTTAAGAAATTAATTTGCATTTTATTGCATGACATAAGTATTTGATACATCAGAAAAGCAGAACTTAATATTTGGTACAGAAACCTTTGTTTGCAATTACAGAGATCATACGTTTCCTGTAGGTCTTGACCAGGTTTGCACACACTGCAGCAGGGATTTTGGCCCACTCCTCCATACAGACCTTCTCCAGATCCTTCAGGTTTCGGGGCTGTCGCTTGGCAATACGGACTTTCAGCTCCCACCAAAGATGTTCTATTGGGTTCAGGTCTGGAGACTGGCTAGGCCACTCCAGGACCTTGAGATGCTTCTTACGGAGCCACTCCTTAGTTGCCCTGGCTGTGTGTTTCGGGTCTTGTCATGCTGGAAGACCCAGCCACGACCCATCTTCAATGCTCTTACTGAGGGAAGGAGATGGCCCCATCCATCCTCCCCTCAATACAGTGCAGTCGTCCTGTCCCCTTTGCAGAAAAGCATTCCCAAAGAATGTTTCCACCTCCATGCTTCACGGTTGGGATGGTGTTCTTGGGGTTGTACTCATCCTTCTTCTTCCTCCAAACACGGCGAGTGGAGTTTAGACCAAAAAGCTCTATTTTTGTCTCATCAGACCACATGACCTTCTCCCATTCCTCCTCTGGATCATCCAGATGGTCATTGGCAAACTTCAGACGGGCCTGGACATGCGCTGGCTTGAGCAGGGGGAGCTTGCGTGCGCTGCAGGATTTTAATCCATGACGGCGTAGTGTGTTACTAATGGTTTTCTTTGAGACTGTGGTCCCAGTTCTCTTCAGGTCATTGACCAGGTCCTGCCGTGTAGTTCTGGGCTGATCCCTCACCTTCCTCATGATCATTGATGCCCCACGAGGTGAGATCTTGCATGGAGCCCCAGACCGAGGGTGATTGACCATCATATTGAACTTCTTCCATTTTCTAATAATTGCGCCAACAGTTGTTGCCTTCTCACCAAGCTGCTTGCCTATTGTCCTGTAGCCCATCCCAGCCTTGTGCAGGTCTACAATTTTATCCCTGATGTCCTTACACAGCTCTCTGGTCTTGGCCATTGTGGAGAGGTTGGAGTCTGTTTGATTGAGTGTGTGGACAGGTGTCTTTTATACAGGTAACGAGTTCAGACAGGTGCAGTTAATACAGGTAATGAATGGAGAACAGGAGGGCTTCTTAAAGAAAAACTTAACAGGTCTGTGAGAGCCGGAATTCTTACTGGTTGGTAGGTGATTAAATACTTATGTCATGCAATAAAATGCAAATTAATTACTTAAAAATCATACAATGTGCAAAATCGGCAGTGTATCAAATACTTGTTCTCCCCACTGTATGCTTTCTTGAGCAGGGGGACCTTGCGGGTGCTGCAGGATTTCAGTCCTTCACGGCGTAGTGTGTTACCAATTGTTTTCTTGGTGACTATGGTCCCAGCTGCCTTGAGATCATTGACAAGATCCTCCCGTGTAGTTCTGGGCTGATTCCTCACCGTTCTCATGATCATTGCAACGTCACGAGGTGAGATCTTGCATGGAGCCCCAGGCCGAGGGGGATTGACAGTTATTTTGTGTTTCTTCCATTTGCGAATAATCGCACCAACTGTTGTCACCTTCTCACCAAGCTGCTTGGCGATGGTCTTGTAGCCCATTCCAGCCTTGTGTAGGTCTACAATCTTGTCCCTGACATCCTTGGAGAGCTCTTTGGTCTTGCTATGGTGGAGAGTTTGGAATCTGATTGATTGCTTCTGTGGACAGGTGTCTTTTATACAGGTAACAAACTGAGATTATGAGCACTCCCTTTAAGAGTGTGCTCGTAATCTCAGCTCGTTACCTGTATAAAATACACCTGGGAGCCAGAAATCTTTCTGATTGAGAGGGGGTCAAATACTTATTTCCCTCATTTAAAATGCAAATCAATTTATAACATTTTTGACATGCGTTTTTCTGGATTTTGTTGTTAATCTGTCTCTCAATGTTCAAATAAACCTACCATTAAAATTATAGACTGATCATTTCTTTGTCAGTGGGCAAACATACAAAATCAGCAGGGGATCAAATGCTTTTTTCCCTCACTGTACCTCCATTGGTAATAATGGTTTTAAAAAACGTACTAATGGGAGGTATAACTACAGAAGCTTTCAAACTTTGGTCATAAGTTTTAGGTCTGGTCTCCAAATGTGTTTGAACCTACTGCAACAGTCTGGTAGATGCTGTATTTCAAGTTAAACAAGTGCCTTTTGAGTTGTGTGATTGTGCGTGACACACAGTTCTCTACTATTTTTCTCCTCTGCTCTTGTAATGTTCTTTCACAAATACCTTGTAGAACACAACAGTTTTTGTTAATAATAATAATATGCCATTTAGCAGACGCTTTTATCCAAAGCGACTTACAGTCATGCGTGCATAATTCTTTTTTGTATGGGTGGTCCCGGGGATCGAACCCACTACCCTAGCGTTACAAGCGCCGTGCTCTACCAGCTGAGCTACAGAGGTTCTGGTCAATGCTATGAACTGAATGTTAATACCAGAACATCTGTTGGAAAATAAATAATATTATTAAAGTCATTGTATTCTATTCCACTCAAAACGAATCTTAACCTAAACTGGTACGTACAGTATGTCTGTTTGAGTGTGCTTGTATGGGTGGTCTGTTTGTGTGTAAATGTATACCAAATTCACAGCTCTGTTTGACAATCATACGTGTCATGTTCACAAATTGTTACAATGTTACACATTAATGACGGTTTGGCCTGATTCTCTGATTGTTATGGTACGTCACCACCACCTGGTGGCGAAAAACACGAATTCTCCACGAGGGGGTTAAACTAATGACGTATGTGAAGCCAATAGCGGCAGCACCAACTACTGCGTCCCTAATAATAAACCAGACAGCATCTTTTGATCCACGATCACTGGCCGAATTTTGACGAGCGCCTCTATACAAACTCAGGTATGATACCATTTTAGCTAACAACAAGCTAAAGTATTTACAAACCGTGGTCTGCATTTTTAAATGTGTGCTGTGATATATGTTCCGACAAGGTCGGTTTAACGCTGGATGTAATAGTGTTATGCAAGGCAGTCGGCTTGGATATATTGCACAGTCTCCATGTGGACATTACAATAACAACGCGGCTGACACTATTAGCAAAATAACGAGGTTGTTCGCTAATGTAACATGGCGCCGTTTAATACCCCCCTCAGGTATATCTTTATCAACCGACGCTGTAGGCTTATGTGTTTGGGTAACGCGAAATAGTTACCAAGACAGCAAGATGCATGCATGACAATGGCGTCAATATTCGCAAAACTAAGGCAGTAGTCTGTTAATAGCCTACCTATTGCTGTCCCGCAATGTCTTTCATTGCTTCATAGGAGCAAATAAACATGTAATATAATGGTCACAATATCATTCTTTTGTCAAGTTTTTACAACTACATAAAATGTTCCTTGTGTGTTTACATGGTATTTCTTTGATATCTTGTTAATAGCCATGTTATGTAAAAAAAAAACCTTTATTTCAGTGTCAGTTGTAGCAGGTGTTTAGGGGAGTGTATGAGGAGGGAGGGAGGGGTTACCTAGGTAAAATTGGCATTTGTCCCAAATGGCACCCTATTCCTTATAGGCTATAGTGCACTATTCCCTGTATAGAGCCCAGTACACTAAATATGGAATGTAACCTTGATGTATATTGATTGATTGACTGGCTATTGTTTCTATGACTGCCTCTTGAAATATTAAACGGTCCAAATACTGTTTGCACCCACCAGTATCCAGTGTCATCATGAACATGGCAGGGCAGGCTTTGAGAACCTGGAAGGAGAATAACAGCTATGTTGTTGAGAAATAGCTGCTTTTCTTTCACCTGTTCATTCTTTCAGATGTCGCTCTCAAAATGGTGGCAAGCCACTCAGTCAAACGTTAGACACATTGTCAGGGAAGGGAATAGAGAAGGGGTGTGAATGGTTCTCCGACTGAAATTATGATGTGTGAGGGAGAAGAGGTGTGTAATGCAATAGTCTACAAACTGTTGTGAGCTTTCTTTGTTGCTTACAGACTTATCAACTAAACAAAGCATTCATCAATTTCACAAATGTTTCTCTTCATAATACCTCCTAAAATGTAATACATTTTGCTCAGTTAATGACATTGTAATTCCTAATAACTTGCAACAGTCTACTCCAGCGTCTTCCTGAGTGAACAGCTATGGGCAAGGAGAAGCTTCACATCAACATTGTGGTGATCGGCCATGTGGACTCAGGCAAGTCGACCACCACAGGCCACCTCATCTACAAGTGTGGGGGCATCGATAAGAGGACCATCGAGAAGTTTGAGAAGGAGGCCGCTGAGGTATGGAGGTGGCCAGACACAAGTAGCTAAACGAAACCACTCTTTCTGGTGGGAATGTATATAAGGTCTATCCTGTTGTTATGCAGGATCGATAAGTTGGAGTCTATTGTCAAACCTTACGCCAAGCTCTGTATTTCAGGGATATGGTATGATTCCACTTTGAATCCATACCATTGAACTGAGCATTGACTTATTTATCTCTCTATCTCTCTCTCGATTTTGTTCAACAAAGTTAAAAGAGACAAACAAACGGCACTGACTTTTGACATTCATTTGGTCTCTCTTTAGATGGGGAAGGGCTCGTTTAAATATGCCTGGGTGCTGGACAAGCTGAAGGCAGAGAGGGAGCGAGGCATCACCATCGACATCTCCCTGTGGAAGTTTGAGACTAGCAAGTACTACGTCACCATCATCGACGCCCCGGGACACAGGGACTTCATCAAGAACATGATCACTGGCACCTCTCAGGTATGGGCTGCAGACACTACCGTATCCATCTGTCACTAAACATGGACCCTGACTAAAAGTTTAGCCATGGGCCTTTTTATTTGGTACATATGGGCCCCAAAACTAGAAGAAAGAAGAGCATGAATCATATTAAACATGTCTTCTTTACTCTTAGAAAACAAAACCTTTGACCAGGATTACGTTGGCTACTCTGAAAATCAAACCGTTATTCCCGGAATCCATAAATGGCACCATTTCATTTTTGTATTATGTTTGCTAGAAGAAATTGCTTATTTTTTCATGTAACACTTTATGCTTTCAAAACTGCTTTCAAATGCAAACAAAATTAAACGTCATGGTCGCTCCCCGTCTCCTTCTCGCCACAGGCGGACTGTGCCGTGCTCATCGTGGCGGCGGGCGTGGGCGAGTTCGAGGCGGGCATCTCCAAGAATGGGCAAACCCGCGAGCATGCCCTTCTGGCCTACACCCTAGGGGTCAAGCAGCTGATCGTAGGGGTCAACAAGATGGACTCCACCGAGCCCAACTACAGCCAGAAACGCTATGAGGAGATTGTGAAGGAAGTCAGCACCTATATTAAGAAGATTGGTTACAACCCGGATACGGTGGCCTTCGTTCCCATCTCTGGCTGGAATGGGGACAATATGCTGGAGGCTAGCCCTAACGTTAGTATTCTTCTTCTTCTACTTATCTTTTTCCAAGGCAGGGTGACACTTTATATTCCTAGGACGCCACCTTATTACACAATAGAGTTGCAGATGCAGTCGTGCACACCTCCACTGAATTACACTGCCCAATTAGTATAACTGCAATTGGATGAAAAGGTTAGTTTTACAAGGTGTGTTAATGCATATTACTTATGTAGGCCATAACGCTTAAGTTATGCTTGTTCCTAATATTTTGTCTGTTCCCTGTAGATGACATGGTTCAAAGGGTGGAAGATCACCCGTAAAGACGGCAACGCCTCTGGAACCACCCTGCTGGAGGCCCTGGACGCCATCCAGCCCCCCTCCCGCCCCACAGACAAACCCCTCCGCCTGCCACTACAGGACGTCTACAAGATAGGAGGTGAGGCCCTGGGAGGTGGAGATCACCTTACTGGGGAGGAGCTTGTGGGCCCCCCTGCCTTGCGGGGAGGGGCTACGCCAGTGGCTTTGGGTCAATTCCATTTAAATGGTCAATTTGGCTAGTGTGGTGCAATGAAAGCCAAAGGGTTTTGAGTTGTTTTTCAGCTCTTACATTAATTTTATTTTGATGTTATACCTTGCACTCAGTCTGTGATTCAATCCGGGCTGCGTTCGATCCGCAATCTAGCACGCTTGACATTTTACGGGAATTTACAATTAAGCTGACATCTGCAGCGTTGACCTTGAATGCGATCTCTGCGAACGCGGAAACATTTCCATTAAAAGCTACAATGTCTACAAGTGCAATCGGATTGAATCCTGGCCTCAGAGACTTGAAAGATTGCCTAAAACCTTTCATGCCTCTCACCTCCCTCTCTCCCAGGTATTGGTACGGTCCCGGTGGGGCGGGTGGAGACGGGCATGATCAAGCCAGGCATGGTGGTGACCTTTGCCCCCGTCAACGTGACCACAGAGGTCAAGTCAGTGGAGATGCACCACGAGGCGCTAACCGAGGCCATGCCCGGAGACAACGTGGGCTTTAACGTCAAGAATGTGTCGGTAAAAGACATACGGCGAGGGAACGTGGCTGGAGACAGCAAGAATGACCCGCCGATGGAGGCGGCCAACTTCACTGCACAGGTCTGGATAGGAGAGTTAGCTGTGGAGAACATTGTGTGTCTGGATTGAAACAAGTCATACAGACACCAATTAACATGCTGTTTTTGTGTGTGTCATGAACACCATTCACCACACTTTTTAAGAAGGAACAAATAGCATAGAGTCACAAAAATGACAAGTGTGTGTGTTTCCTCCCTCCTCCCCCAGGTCATCATCCTGAACCACCCAGGTCAGATCAGTGCCGGCTACGCCCCTGTGCTGGACTGCCACACGGCCCACATCGCCTGTAAGTTCGCTGAGCTGAAGGAGAAGATTGACCGGCGTTCAGGCAAGAAGCTGGAGGACAACCCCAAGGCCCTGAAGTCTGGCGACGCTGCCATCGTTGACATGGTCCCCGGGAAGCCCATGTGTGTGGAGAGCTTCTCTGAGTACCCACCTCTTGGTAAGTGATGTGTGTGTGTGTGTGTGTGTCCTCAACCCAGACCCCTATTGGGGGACAGATGACATGTACCTTTGTCATATCGATATTACAGAACATGCTCTGTTCATGAGATAAGAAGTTATCCCGTCCTTCTTCAGTCTTGGTGCTTCTCGTCTAGAACTAATCACATTTTCCATTTAGTGAAGTTGGGGCTGTTTTCAAAGTGCTACAGTTGATCACAAATGTCATTGTATCATGTGTTATAAAGCCTGCAATAGACTGAAATACGTTTATAATAAAGTCATTACAAATATGACTTACATTTGATCATTCTCTCCATCCTCCCAGGGCGCTTTGCGGTGCGTGACATGCGTCAGACGGTGGCGGTGGGCGTGATCAAGGCAGTGGAGAAGAAGGCTCCGTCCACGGGCAAGGTCACCAAGTCGGCCCAGAAGGCCCAGAAGGTCAAATGAACGTTGTGTTGGGCTTGCAACGTTAGCGTCCGCCACCGTAAAACCAACAACCCCATTACCCCCACACCTCTCCTACACACCATAGTCAAAGTCTGGTCCATGCTCACGATGCATCGCAAGAGCAGACGGAGGAAAAAAATTATACGGTATATTCTTTAAGGAAGTGTTCTGTTTTATATATGTTTTGGTCTGTTTGTTTGACTCTGTGGTTAGGATACACTATCTGAGTGGAAGACGATTTAAATATCTCCTCTAGATGTGTGCTATTGTAGTCAGTTAAACCTCAATCATTGTATTGATAGTGTTAGTTTGCATTAAACTAGCTGCTAGTTAATGTTATTAAAATGTACAACATTTTTTAAGTTGATAAATGTTGAAATGGTGTTGTGTTCCAGCTTCCAAAGATATGCGTTCTAGCCTGTGTTCCTATGGCTGCTTGCATGTTCCCGATGCACTTTCAAAAAGATATCAGATGTTAACATATTATAGCACCTTGCTTGGCTTAAAAGCTCCCTTGCACTGTTCCAACTTTATCGATACTCCTCTACACCTTATTGTATGCAACCTGTGAGCTTGATCTATATCAAAGACATTAAAAAGTCTTCAAACTTACAACATGTCTGTCATTTTTCCGCAGTCATTTAAATATGGGTTGACAGTTGAAAAATGAAAATCATTTTCAAGGTAATAAATAGCCGACACGCAGCTAAAAAACATACACTGACCACGTACACCACAATGCTCATAGGCTAGCAGAACATGTCTGTAAATATGTCACAAACATACACTTGAATTTCCTTTTTTTTTATTGCTGTATGACAATAAAAGTTCCTTTAGCATTTTTCATGACGTTACAGGCTTGATGGAGCTAACTGAAATTATTACTATCGTATAGGTATGCGTACATAATTTAAATAAATTAGGATAGCGATCGTTTGAGACACTAATGACATTTCCAAAGGCCAGTTTCACGTGGTAATACATGGTCTGTCTGTGGATAAATAATGCCCAAATCAGATATATATTTTTTTTTACAAGGGACGAAACAAAAATCAAGGATGTGCGACCATTTCAGCACAAAAGGCCAACAATTGGGTGCAAATGAACATGTTGAAATGGACAGTATATCACTAAGAAAGGCACCATATTATGTACTGCACGTTTTATATACTTCACATATTCTGGTAAAGCCTTCAATAAGGATTTAATCGACCATAAAAGTTTCTGCTAATGTTTCTGTTTTCAATGGTATGTGTACTGGGGCTTTAGATGTAGCGTACAGAACAATTTCATACTGTATTTAATGTTGTTTAGAATTGGTTTCTCTCCTTTGAAACATCCCCCTTGGTGAAACATCCAAGAGTCCTTACCTGGATCATGTTCAGTAGGCACGGAATGTTACAAAACATTTTGAAACCGATGAGGTAGCCTAGAACCTGAGGCTGAGCGTGTCCAATGAGTTATTTTTGCATTCCGTTTCAAAATGTTTTGCTACATTGTGCCCTATTGAACATGGCCCTGTTGTACCTGAATCTGTATCATTTAAAGGGATAGTCCACCCAAATTACCAAATTACATTTTAATTTTGGTACCCTGTAAATAACTCGCTGTCCCTCATTGCCATCTCTCCTTGTCCAAAGACTGCTTGAAGGGTAAGAAAAACAATACGTAATTTTGTGATTTGGGTGACTTATCCCTTTAAGTCAAAAGGTCTAATTGTTGTTAGCATTAGCCATGATGTCACTCACACTGCTTGCCATTGTGTGCAAAATATAACTTACAGATTATTAACATAACATTATATACATTCTACAGCATGTCAACTTCAGTTTAAGCAATTGAATAAGCATCCAAAACTATAAATTATTAAAAGAATTACAGCCGGTGAGTGTGATTTCGACTGAAACCATGTACTGTAAGACTGCAAGTATCTACATTTCATTAAAAGAGGGTCACTTACTCGGATAACAAAATATATTTTTGCACATTTTTCTCCCTTCATCGTGTTTTGCTCTTGTGTGTTAGAAGTGACAAAAAAGTACAAATTCCAATGAGAAGAGACACAGGTATCTCAAGAAATCCCATTCAGAATGTGGATCCCTTGGTCGTCGGGGAGAAAACCCCACAGGCTGCATAATTGAACTGTGTTTTAGGCATAGAAATATCATTACTAGAACGGGCATCCCCATTCAACTGTGTCATGACGGGTGGACCGTATTCTAGTAATTCAATTTCTATGGTTTTAGCAGCTATTCCTCTCCTGTTTTAGCAGCTATTCCTTTCCCGGGACTCTATGTGTAGCAGCTTGTGTACAATGGTTATACAGTATGTATGCTATTGGTGTGTGTGTGTGACCTGTTGGCAGAATTTAATTGACCTCAAACTAGTGGACTTGGCAAGCCTATCTTTACAATGAGGTGTGTTTTGTACCATTGTATGTCCACAATAGTCTCTCAATTGAGAAACTATTATGGGGAACTGACGTGGGTGAAAACTTGGTCATGTTGAGGCAACATTCATTTCAAAAAGCTTTGGATAACAGTATGATATTGGTTTCATGTAATCATTTAACTTGCCCTATATGCTATAGTCTTATAAGTTAGGATGCCCCACACTTTAACTGTCACTGTACATGATTGTGTATTCAAATGAAGGAAGAGTTTTCTAGAAGGGTTTTGCGATAAGTCCTATACGCGTCAACAACTTCCTGTGTTAATGAATGAAGACTTATGGGTAAGTTGTAAATACCATGAACTTTGGACTGAAAACATGCAGTGCTCATGCAGTGTCGAGATCACAGATCACTGTCTTTCAGGATCAAGTTTTGCTTGTTTCTTTTTATATATCAAAGTCTCTTTTTAATACACCTCTCCCTCTCTTAAAACCTTTATTTTCTTTGTTTTGTTTTCTTCAAACGTACTTTTAAAAAGAATAATTCATGCAATGATATGTTGATGTATGGTCGACATGTATGAAAAATACTATGCTTCTTATCAAATGAATCAACATAAAAATAAACAGAAATAACCATTATAGTCCCCTCCCTGTTCCCCCTCCCCCTCCCAAAATAGAATAAAGAGCATCTCTGTAAGGTGAGTCTTTTTGATTGGTCCATCTGACACGGGGTGTGTCTTATTTTAGCCGTACGTGCGGCATGCTCAGGGACTCTGTGCTCCCGACTGAGGGGGGTGTCGATGTGTTCCCGCTCCCGCTTGCCAGGCTCCTATTGGACCCCGCCAGAGCACCTAACCCCGCCCCAAGTCCCGGCCCCGTCCTCAGTAGATCTGAAGAGTAAGAGGTGGCGTCGGCTGTTCCATGGGACAGGAAGTCAAAACCAAAGGCTCCGCCCCGAGTCTCAGGGGGGAGAGGGAGGGCGTCCACGTCCCTGTCGCTGATAAAGAGGTCCTCCTCCCCCCAGCCGCCCCCACCGCCCCCTCCACCGGGGTCCTGACTGCTGTGGGAGCCTGTGGGGGAGCCGCTGCTGCAGGGGCTGGGGGACGAGAGGCTGAGGCTAGGATGGTGGTGGCTCTCCAGGGCACTGGAGGTGGTGGTCCCCCCCTGCACCAGGTCCTGGATGGACATAGACTTGCCTCGGTCCACCTGGCTGGGGTTGGAGCCGGAGGAGCAGCGGCCTCCTCCTCCCAGGGCAGAAGAGAGGGGTACCAGGGGCTCCATCTCCAGGCTTGTGTTTCTCCTCCAGGAGCCCTCTTCTTTGGCATTGCAGGGCCGGCTGTTGCTGTTCCCACTGGACCCCCCTCTTGGCTGCCCCAGCCTCCCCAGTCTGAGGCCTTGTCCTGGGCCTAGCACACCACCGTCCTCCCTCTCCTCCGGGCTTCCACAGAAGTCCCCCACCTCCACCTCCCTCTCCGGCCTGGAGTGACCCACTGTCCGGCTGGGCTCGGGAGGAGGCGGTGGGGGCCTGGCCAGAGTAGGAAACCCCCCACTCCCAGAAACACAATTAGGAGTAAGAATAGGAGGTGAGTGAGAAGAACTTCCCCTATGGACTGGTTCTCCACCTTCCGGCAGGGTATGATGATGATGGTGGTGGTGGTGTTGAGGAAGGGGCGACGGACTGAACGAGGAGGCCGGGGGCCCCCCGGTGGAAGGTGAGGTGGTACTGGTGTTGAGGCTGAGCTCGGTGGGTGGCGCCAGGATAAGGTGAAGACCCCGGGACAGGTTTGAAGCATTGGTGGAGGAGCGGGTCACGCACCCCCCCTGGCCCCCTATCCCACCTCCGGTGCTGCTGACCTGTGTAGAGCAGGTGGAGTGGTCCTTGGAGAGGATAGAGTTCTGGTAGTCTGAGGTCTGCTCCAGCTCGAACAGGGGCAAGGAGGAGAGTGTGAGGGCAGACGAGGAGCCTTTACGTAACACATGCCGGTAGATGTCCAACAGGGAGTCTAGCTTCGACTCAATAGACTGGACCTAGAGAGGGATGGATTGAAGGAAGGAAGGAAGGAGGGAGGAAGGGAAGAAAGGGTGGGAAATATAAATGAAGGTTAACACTAGCTACACAACAGAAAGAGTACTTTCACATAATTGGTAATACAAACAACATTTAACCACATTTAACCATAATACGCAAAACAATTATAATATGTTGAATAACAGTAGTTGGTAACCCTTTACACTCATACCCGTATATGGGTTGAAAATGGAAGATTTGGGCACTGATAAGCTCCTAAATTGGAACATAGTGGCTGTACAGTAACATGCTATGCATGACGTCAGAGCTCAGGCTCTGCGCTTCACAGCGCTGTACGGGTTTTGACTGACAGCTGTTCTGAATTTGAGCACTGCGCGCAGCAAGAAGTTGCCCCCATCCCTTCCGGTACTTGGGCAACTTTTGAAATGTTTTGTCTGAGTGAGGGAAATGCTGTTAAGAGGACTCTATGTATTTTGCAAGATGATACATTGAGGATTATTATAATAAATACCACTTTGCTGTCATACAAGCAAGCCAAACACCGGTGAGTCCAAATGTGCACTTCACATCTCCAAATCATACAACTCATGTCATATACAGTATCAGCGTTTATGATCAGTATGTTTGATGTACAGTTACAAGGTGACGTGGTGTCATACTCTGGGTTGTTCTGAACAGAATGAGCCTATGTTTGTTTATTGTGAAGAAAACTTGCCGCGGCACACGCACCTGAATGCACTCATGACCAGTGGCGGCTCCTGAAAAAATTCTCAGGGGGGGCAATTTTTCTGATGATTTAGGTGACCTACACACATTTTAAAAAAGATATGTCCAGCAACAACATGAAGACAGGGGCAGCATATAAGTCAATACCAGAAGCATTTATTGACTGATCTCAAAAGTGTTGGCTTACCAGGGTTGGTGGAGCCCTCAGTTTCATCTTTGCCTCGCAAAGCTAACTCAAACACTCCGCAAAACTTCACACACTGGATTAGCCGGCTGAGGATGTGGCGGTTCTTGCTAATGTCGTAGTAAATATATTTGTTATAGTGAATATGGAATATGATATGTTGAGTAAAATGTTGTGCTAAGATCTATTTAGGTCAGGAGCTGGTTATAAGTTCTGTTCCTATCCAATAACAATGGACAAAAGGGTCCTATCTTGTCAGCCAAGGACAACACCCACGCCATAGGCCTCTCAGTTCTTCCAACTCACGAGTTCTTGCTCTGAGGACACACACACACACACACACACACACAAACACACACACACACATCATCACTGTTAAACACACACACACACACACACACACACACACACACACACACACACATCATCACTGTTAAACACACACACACACACACACACAAAAAAATCCCCTCTCTTAGGCTGAACATTTGAAGACAGAGAACTCGACTCAGAGCCAATGCAACAGTGACAGTATCCTGGAGGGGACCTCGCCCAACTCATCAGGACCAATCAGAAGATCAGAACTACTAGATTCAACCTACTTCATTTATTGCATAAAATGTCTGCACACAATGTTTCGGGGCTCTCTTCAGATAATAATAATAATAATAATATGCCATTTAGCAGACGCTTTTATCCAAAGCGATTTACAGTCATGCGTGCATACATTTTTGTGTATGGGTGGTCCCGGGGATCGAACCCACTACCTTGGCGTTACAAGCGCCGTGCTCTACCAGCTGAGCTACAGAAAGTGGATACTCATGGATGCGCATCGCAATTGTCAAATGTCAACACAATTGGAGACACCACGTCATTTTTGGAGACATGTTATTGACAGTAAACTATTGTAGATGCGACTGCTAACTAAATAAAACATTTTAGCTGGCTAGCTAATCATCTTAGCTAAATGTGGGGCAAACAATTCAGTTATTTACCGTTAATTTGAGGGATTGGGGTGAAAGAAATCGAGTTACATAGTGATACTTTACGATATACTGTATTGACAATATCGCAATATTTTAGCGCTAGTTGGCTGTACCTGCACCAAAACACCATTATTGTTCCTTCATAGCTTGTTCTCAATCTTTTCACATTGGGAGCCAATTTGTTTTCAGCACTTTTATTTCCATGACTGATCAAAACTCGTTCTCATGGCTTTCTGATCCCTCTGCAACAGACATATGGTGCGCAATAAAATCACAGTATCGAATCGCAATACGTATAGAATCATGAGACACGCAATGCATATATCTTATCGTGAGGTTCCTGGCAATTCCCAGCCCAAGTTCATTTGCCACAACAAATCTCTTCGCTAGCAAACGCGATGTCTTCTCCAAAACGGCAATGTGTCTCCAGCAATGTTTACTTTTTTGACATTCTATGGCATCTCCACTTTCCAAGCATATATGACCACATGTAATATTTTGGTAAGTGATGCAAATAGTGAACTATGTAGGGCCAGGATGTAAAATATATGTAGCTGCAGCAATTTCTCTTATCTGATATGGTAAGTAATGGGGCTTAATGTATAGCTCCCTAAGAGTTTGACGAACGGGTCCGTGCACGCGATTCCAGATATCTTTACCTCTGAATAAACTGCCTTTATTATACCATATCCACCCTGTCCAAAGTCTCTACTTGGTCTCAGTTCTCCAGTAAACTTGTGATTATCAACACTAACCTCATCGTTGTGGCGGCGGACAGCTAGCCTGTATCCCTCATCCAGTTGAGTGACAATGTTCTTTTTTCGTTAGTACCAATTTTTGGAAAATCCTCGGGTGTAGGACTTTCCGCCTTTAGTAGAAACCTGTTGAATTATTAAATTTGGTCTGGGAGGTCCTAATTGTTTCGTTGCCAATTTATCTTGATTTGTTCGCCGACAAAAAGGAACTTCTTTCAAAGACACAATCGAGTTGCACTGAAGGCTAGCCATTTTTACAGTAGTAGTGAATTGATTGAGGCTGCTACCCGGTCTTTTCTTAGTTACGTTCATGGTTACGTTACGTATGACGAAAGCGCGTAAGTGCAAGCCCTCAGACACCCATAGAGATTGTATTGAAAGCTCTGAAATTTGAAAAAAATAGATTTTACATGGGAGTCTATGACAGACTTCTGGGCGATTTTCAACCTGACTGAAATCGCCCAAAAAGGGGGGGTGGCCATTTGAAGCACGACTTTAGCCTGATTGGACATTTAGTGGCAGATCAGACCAGACACGTCTAGATTACAACACTGATAACTACTGTTGCCGTGATATAATTGATTAGAAAAAAAATCCCTTCCTTTTCCCGTTTGGCAGTGCGTCGCCCATATCGCCCTATTGAACACACCGCCCCTGCTCATGACTCCTTTCTATGCGCACCAAAATTACAATCTGTTTCTCTGAATTGCCTTGTGAAAGCCTAACACTGTAAGATCGTATATATTAACTTAGCTAGTCATGTTGGCAATAGAACAAGCTTTCAAATCATGCCCACCTGACCCAGACTGCGATTCATTTTTGGATTGCGTAAACAGCAACAGTAATTGTGTGATGGCAGGGATGCAGGGTTGTGTTCCAAATGAAACAACTACAAGTGTGCTTGCTTTGGTTCCTCAACGGCACAGCTAGGAGAGCTAAAAAAAACAAAACTTATTTGAGTCATAAAAGTGCATTGAAATTGCTTAGGATCTGTGCATACCTTGGAGAGGTGTGGCCACTTGGAGACACCAGTTAATCCTCTTACTCAAAACCTTGGAAATGTTTTTGTCTTATGTTGCACCTACCCCACATTTTCCAGGAACAGGCTTAAGTTACTGAATGTATCCAGAGTATTTTCAGATTTTGTTATCAACAAACGTGGCTAAAAGTACAGTAAATGTAAAATACACATAAAATGAAAAGTGTAATGTTTGGATTCAGTCTCGTGTCAGGTGAACTTGTGTTCTCACCTTTGGTCTAATAATTTATTTTCCCATTATCTCCAAACTGTTCCCTTTCAATTGCTATCATGGTTATGCATATGCTTTTCATATTTCTTTTGTCAGAAACATTTCAATTTAGCCCTATCCATACAGGCCAATTCTCACGAGCGTAAAAGGTTAAGCACACCTAATTCATATTTAATGAACCAGTGTTTTTCATGGAAACCCACTGACCTGCCGTTCCACTTTGCAGACGCGTCCCAGCATACTCATGTCCTCCATAAGGTCTCCATCAGACAGCAGCTTGTCCCTGATCTTCTTATCCAGAGGAATCTGGCCTTTACCCAGGATCTGGTCCACTCTGGAGGGCACAGGAGACATAGTGTTAAAGAGAGGGTACAGAGAGAGAAATGGTGCAGGACCAGAGGATGTCCAGTAGGCAGTCCGCCGAGAAGGAAGAAGGAAGGAAAGAGAGTTAGAGTTGGAATTGGTCCTCTATGAGAATACAACACGTACTGTAGAGGCCATAATGCTCGCAAGGATATCTTTGGCTCTGTTTACTGTGTCACTAGAGATATACAGTGGGGGAAAAAAGTATTTAGTCAGCCACCAATTGTGCAAGTTCTCCCACTTAAAAAGATGAGAGAGGCCTGTAATTTTCATCATAGGTACACGTCAACTATGACAGACAAATTGAGATTTTTTTTCTCCAGAAAATCACATTGTAGGATTTTTAATGAATTTATTTGCAAATTATGGTGGAAAATAAGTATTTGGTCAATAACAAAAGTTTCTCAATACTTTGTTATATACCCTTTGTTGGCAATGACACAGGTCAAACGTTTTCTGTAAGTCTTCACAAGGTTTTCACACACTGTTGCTGGTATTTTGGCCCATTCCTCCATGCAGATCTCCTCTAGAGCAGTGATGTCGCTGGACAACACAGACTTTCAACTCCCTCCAAAGATTTACTTTGGTAGGCTACTGATGGTAGGCTTTGTTACTTTGGTCCCAGCTCTCTGCAGGTCATTCACTAGGTCCCCCCGTGTGGTTCTAGGATTTTTGCTCACCGTTCTTGTGATCATTTTGACCCCACGGGGTGAGATCTTGCGTGGAGCCCCAGATCGAGGGAGATTATCAGTGGTCTTGTATGTCTTCCATTTCCTAATAATTGCTCCCACAGTTGATTTCTTCAAACCAAGCTGCTTACCTATTGCAGATTCAGTCTTCCCAGCCTGGTGCAGGTCTACAATTTTGTTTCTGGTGTCCTTTGACAGCTCTTTGGTCTTGGCCATAGTGGAGTTTGGAGTGTGACTGTTTGAGGTTGTGGACAGGTGTCTTTTATACTGATAACAAGTTCAAACAGGTGCCATTAATACAGGTAACGAGTGGAGGACAGAGGAGCCTCTTAAAGAAGAAGTTACAGGTCTGTGAGAGCCAGAAATCTTGCTTGTTTGTAGGTGACCAAATACTTATTTTCCACCATAATTTGCAAATAAATTCATAAAAAATCCTACAATGTGATTTTCTGGATTTTTTTCCCCTCAATTTGTCTGTCATAGTTGACGTGTACCTATGATGAAAATTCAGGCCTCTCTCATCTTTTTAAGTGGGAGAACTTGCACAATTGGTGGCTGACTAAATACTTTTTTCCCCCACTGTATGTTACAAGTGTATCAATATCAACAGCATCCCACTGGGCACACACTGGTTGAATCAAAGTTGTTTCCATGTAATTTCACTAAAATGAGGTGGATCCAACGTGGAATAGACATTGAATTGACGTCTGTGCCCAGTGGGATATCAATACTTTAAAAAATATACACTGTAGAAGGCAAGCAGAAGAGAAGAATGCATTATCTTCTACTGGATTTGAAAGACAAAATGGATTACCTTAAATTACAAGCACAGTTTTTATTTTATTTGTATTTATATATAATTTTATTACATATTTGGATTTTCAGTTGAGATGTTTATATGAGATAATCAATATTTTCCATGACTCAAGAAGCTCTTGACCAGAAAATGTCATTTGGAGTTTCTACCACATGGTGGCTCACTACTCACTCATTTGGTAAATAAGGCCTTTCATATTCAGTGGAAGTTTAGGGTCTAGATTTAATCAAGTGTTAACCGGCGATTGCCGACACCCGCATTGCTGATGTTTTGGCGCTGTCGGCGGTGGAACTGCATTGGAGCTGTAAATCGGTGAGCAGCTGCTCTTGTGATAATTGTCAAGATGCCACACTGTCCCACTCGCGTTAGAAGTTCAGAATGAGAAAGCGTAGGCTATATAGAAATAATTACACTCAAATTGAAAAATCTTTTAACTAAATAATGAGGATTTCTAACAGCCAAATCGAGGTGTAGATTACATCTCACATTTCAGTGTTCGGACTTAATGAGACTCCGTGCCACCAATGGCAATGTCCGTTTTAGCTTTAATGCCGGGAGAAACTTGTAGATTTGACAACTCCACCTCCGATACCGTCAAAACATCAGCTATGCGGATGTTCGCTAAAGCAGATCTGATTGAATCGGGCCCTAAGATAAAACTCAGAGAAAACTCAGTTGACAGGACTGCAGAACAGAATAAACATCACCAGGAGGAATCTAGAAACTGAACACACCCATCAACAGTCCCAAGTGGATCCCCCGTGCAAGATATACTGTCAACCTAGACAGGTAAGATATACTGTCAACTTAGACAGGTAAGATATACTGTCAACCTAGACAGGTAAGAAAGATTTTTGCGATTTGAAAACCATGCAGTGTTTCTTCTAGCAAGCAATCACCTAGTCCACATGCAGGGGATGGGGAGAAAGTCAAGAGTGTGTGATGACAGAAGAGTGTGTGAGAGGCGTGAGGGGGTTAACTCTGACCCCTGCATGGAGTTCTTTCTGCCCTGGCTGTAATACATGGGCAGGGAGGGAGAGGAAAAGGTCTTGGCTCGGCTGCTCAGGGGCTGGGGCCCCACTATCATGTCCAGCCTGTGGGGGAAAGTGAGCACACACACACACACACACACACACACACACACACACACACACACACACACACACACACATACGTACACACACACACACATACGTACACACACACACACACACACACACACAACACACACACACACACACACACACACACACACACACACACACACACACACACACACATAGACACACACAAAAATATGAATGTATGCGCACAGACACAAACATATGCACACTCATTTGAAGACAAAGACTTAAACGTACACAGGTCAGTCATACTGCTTACATTCAGTGGCTAAGCAGTGAATCCACATGGCAGACAGCTGCTAGCTAAGCTTTATCATGCAATTTATTTGAAGGTCTAAGGTAGTGTGTGACTTTGTGAGCATGACAGTGCATTATTGTTCTCACCGTGTCTGCAGACTCTTGATGCGACACAGCATGTCCAGGTGTCCGGCGGAGTACTGCTCTATGACGTCCTTCACATCGTATGGTCGCAACGTCTCCTTAAACTTCTTCTTGGCCACGTGGAACTTCATTATCCTGGATGGATCAGACCAGGGTCATGTTCATTAAGTACCAGATGGAAGAACATTGATTGAAACAGGGAGGGACTACATGAACGTGTCTAATAAGAAACACTTGTTTTTGTATTCCGTTGCGAAACGTTTCGCTACGGTGTGTCCTAATGAATGCGACCCAGCACAGGAGGGAATTTCAATGAAGTTCTTAAATCTACCTAATAAAGGGAGTCCTCAAACAAAGAATGACATTGACCTAGAGTAACACACTCCAACTGAGATACTGAGATCTAAAACGACCCAATAGCAACCGGAGAAACAGCTCTTCTTTATCAACATAAATACATGACCGCTCATCTGGAAAATCATTTCATATTTCTAAAGACAATATTCCTGTGAAGTTGTACAGCTAAAGATCTGAGGTAAAATCAGTCTTTACTTCACTGTTTACTTTAGCTGTGTAACATGTAAATCTATCCCTGTGAGAAAGTGTAGAGGGAAGCTTAGTACACACACCTGTGGAGCCTAGGGGCCACATACAACAGAAGAGGTTGAATATGAGAGGCCCTTGGAGGCCCTATAAGGGCCCCTCCTGCCCAATGTGAGGATGAAAAAGTTATATAGTAATGTATCCACTGGCTAAACCCATAGTGGGAAGTAAGAGAGATTTTGAAGCTGCCTCTCACGGTATGGATTATGGGAAAGAGTTAGGAGGTTACAATAAGAAGAAAAAGCTCACGCTAAGGCTCTGATGACATACTTGAGTGAGGGCAGCAGAGGTGTGTGTGTGTGTGTGTGTGTGTGTGTGTGTGTGTGTGTGTGTGTGTGTGTGTGTGTGTGTGTGTGTGCGTGCGTGTGCGTGAGTGAGTGAGTGAGCATGCGTGAGTGCGTGTCTCACCTGACGGCTCGGATGACAGACTTGACGGAAGGCAGCAGGTCCTCCACAGAGATCTCACAGTGACAGCCCTTGTCATCACCAAACCCATCCTCAGTGGTCATGTTTGAGTCAGCTAGACAGAGAGAGAGATGGAGGGAAAGAGAGTTTGAGTTTTAACATACCTTTATTTTTTTATGAAGGAGTCAGAAAGAAAGAGAGATGGAGGGAAGGAATGAAGGAGAGATGGAGGAAGGAGAGAGAGAGAGAGAGAGAGAGAGAGAGAGAGAGAGAGAGAGAGAGAGGTGTGGTGTGGTGTGTATTCATGGATGCCAAGGGAAGCCATTCTTCCCCAAATATTTGACCAATAAAAAAACAAAAAAACATATATTTGTAATAATTTTCCGGCAATTCGCAAGTGGCTGAATCTCACCGGAGAAATCATCAGAGCGAGGGAAACAGCGCCCCTCTGTCTCAGTATGTGTAGCCCATCTATCTGATGCTGTCTGGACCAAAAGAGTATGACATGTTGTGGCAGTAGCATTTGATTGATTGATGCCAGCAAGCATTTGGCCTCCCTTGATCTGGCTAGCTTACTAAATCAGCCCTTTCCTAAGCCATGGATGGAGATGGGGATTTGGACTTGTGGTTTTGACTTAATTCTCTGTACAGGCCAATGATTATGACGGCGATGCTGATCTAACCATAAATGAATATGTTGTGCCACTGGCCTGAGACGATTGAAGTTCAATATGTAGCCTAGATGTAGCCTAGCCCTTTTAGGCTGCCGTTAAGTAGCTAGCTAACTTAGCTGGTTCATTGTTGCCCATGCGAGGAAGTTAGGCTAGCAAGCGTTTTAGCTAGGTAGCATATGACATCAAAAACGAACACACACCCACACACACACACAGAGAAATCAGTACCATTTGTTTTTGGTATCTTTACATTTGTTTTCAGTGTATTAAACTAAGCATACTGTATATAGTCTTGTTGATTAAATGTTTAAGTTGAAATGGTGCTGAAATTGTGGAGGCAGTGATCCTGTTGTCTTTGTGTTGAATTGCGGTAACTTCTGAATCAGTAGTTGTTTAGTAAACTGTCAAACATTAACTCGCTTTAACATGTTGCAGGCAGTGGTGGAAAAAGTACCCAATCGTCATACTTGAGTAAAAGTAAAGATACCTTAATAGAAAGTTACTCAAGTAAAAGTGAAAGTCACCCAGTAAAATACTACTTGAGTAAAGTCTAAAAATATATGGTTTTAAATATACTTAAGTATCAAAAGTAAATGTAATTGCTAAAACATACTTAAGTAAAAGTATAAATAATTTCAAATTCCTTATATTAAGCAAAGCAGACAGCACCATTTTCTTGTTTTCAAATTGATGGATAGCCAGGGGCACACTCCAACACTCAGACATTATTTACAAATGATGCATTTGTGTTTCGTGAGTCCGCCAAACCATAGGCAGTAGGGATGACCACGTGTTCTCTTGATAAGTGTCACGCCCTGGCTCTGGGGACTCTCATATGTTGAGCCAGGGTGTGTAGAGTCATTGTTTTGTGTTCTATGTTTCAGTGTCTAGTTCATGTGTTTCTATGTTGGCCGGGGTGGTTCTCAATCAGAGGCAACGTGAATCAGCTGTTGCTTGTTGTCTCTGATTGGGAACCATACTTAGGCAGCCGTTTGGGCAGTTGTGTTTTGTGGGATCTTGTTCCGTGTTGGTTTGTTTGTTAACCGAGGACTTCATGTTTCGTTTTGTTGTTTTGTTAGTTGTGTAAGTACTCTAATAAAATATGTACGCATTCCACGCTGCGCCTTGGTCTACTCCTTTTGACGATCGTGACAATAAGTACGTGAATTTCACAATTTTACTGTCCTGCTCAGTATTCAAAATGTAACGAGCACATTGTATGGAGTAAAAAGTACAATATTTTCTTTAGGAATGTAGTGAAGCTCGCATCTACTACAAAACCATGGTGCTTGCCTACGGAGCTGTGAGGGGAACGGCACCTCCTTACCTCCAGGCTCTGATCAGACCCTACACCCAAACGAGGGAACTACGTTCATCCACCTCTGGCCTGCTAGCCCCCCTACCTCTACGGAAGCACAGTTCCCGCTCAGCCCAGTCAAAACTATTCACTGCTCTGGCACCCCAATGGTGGAACAAGCTCCCCCACAACGCCAGGACAGCGGAGTCACTGACCACCTTCCGGAGACAGTTGAAACCCTACCTCTTTAAGGAATACCTGGAATAGTATAAAGTAATCCTTCTACACCCCCCCCCCCCATAAAAAAAAGAAGAAAAAAAAAAAACATTGGGTGGTTGTCCCACTGGCTATCATAAGTTGAATGCACCAATTTGTAAGTCGCTCTGGATAAGAGTTTCTGCTAAATGACTTAAATGTAAATGTAAGTAAAAGTAAAAGTACAGGGCCTCCTGTAGCTCAGTACAGGGCCTCCTGTAGCTCAGTACAGGGCCTCCTGTAGCTCAGTTGTTAGAGCATGGCACTTGCAACGCCAGGGTTGTAAATTTGATTCCTACGGGGGGCCAGTATGAAAAAGGTATGCACTCACTAACTGTAAGTCGCTCTGGATAAGAGCGTCTGCTAAATGACTAAAATGTCAAATGTAAGTTGTCAAAAATATAAATAGTCAAGTAAAGTACAGATACCCCCCAAAATTACTTAAGTAGTACTTTAAAGTATTTTTACTTAGGTACTTTACACCACTGGTTGAAGGTCATATAACTGTTTATTACATGCAATATTTGCTTTGTGGACTTCACCGGACAGATGATGCTCTCCGGTTTTGTGATGAAACAAACGTATGTGTAGTTGAATTTATTCCACCACTGTGTGACTGTTGTCTTTTGTTGTCTCGGCCTTATTGTATATCACGGTGGCGTATGAACGAATGAGTTATAGAGCAAACAACGCAATTATCACAACACTGGTTGTAATATGGATTTTTTTACTGGCTTGGCTTGGCTTCCTCAGGGATTTTACCCACGCACAGCTACTGGAGACAGAGAGAGATACAGAGAGAGAGCGAGAGAGAGAGAGAGAAAAAAAAATAGAATAACTATTGTTTTCACAAAAGTGAGTCCACAGTATAGCAGAAGAGTGCGAGGCTGAGAGCTGCCTGGCCTCAGTAGGTATATTGCTAATGGGAAATATTTATCACAAAGACCTGCTGTTTATGAGTGGCCTGAGTTACGACATAAAGCACAGCAAAGCCGGGGCGGGGTTTAGAAGTGGCGGAGTGCATATCAAACCATTTTCCCCCCTGACCAATAAAAGGTTTTCTATGACCCCAGGTTAATGCTATTTGTAATGTTACAAGGCAAGCCACCACAAGCATTTGGAGGATTGGTGTGTGTGTGTGTGTGTGTGTGTGTGTGTGTGTGTCAGCCAGCATCAATATCTGTTCTCATTAATTCAGAATGTAGTGTAGGTGGTTCTTGGCAAAGCCATTTAATCCATCTGGCATATTGTATATGCAACAGTAGATTTACCATATACAACATGATTATTGTATGGTTGTGTAAGGTAAGTGTCATATACAGCATAGTCATTAGTCATCACTTTTTCCAAAACGTCTCTTCCACAAGACTCTGCTGGATAAATCACACATATACAGTTCAGTCATTACCTTTTCCAAAACGTCTCTTCCACAAGACTCTGCTGGATAAATCACCCATATAGAGTTCAGTCATTAGTCATTACCTTTTCCAAAATGTCTCTTACACCAGATGCAGCTGGATAAATCACCCATTCCATTTCTATCCATCCTCACCATAATGTGCTGGTAATAGTGTTATTATAGTCCACTATTGTGTAGACCTACTTCATTCTAGAATTTAGCTGGTGTTCCGTTTGACCTAGCTACCTGGTCACGGTGGCTGTTACTCTGCCTTCCCTCAGCCAGCTGGCTAGACTGGATAGAGTAGCACTGCAGCCTCTGCTAGCCCCTTAAGGCTGCTAAACTACAGCATACCCGCTCGCTTCCCACCATCCAGAGTACGGTCCAGAGCTCCAGCCATAACCAAGCCAGGCCATCCAGCCCAACTAGCCCAAACCAGGGCACCGCAAACAGGCATTATCATTCGTCCCGCTGGGCCTAGCTGGCTCTATGGCTGGTTCTATGGTCTGTGCCAGCTCTGGTCTGGTCTGCCCATAAGACCAGTGGTCTAGGAGTAATCCTTTATAGGCTAGCACACAGCACCCAGCCAGAGAACATAGGGAAAGGGAGTTAAAGCTAGCATGACATTAATAGTGTGGTTTTCATTTGATGTAGCTCACCAGTGATCTAAGGATAAGCTAAGTATATCTAAAGATATCATTAGTGGGATATAATTCTGAGGATGATAACAGGTGTAGAAAGCATCAGGGCAAGATCACCATTTTGTTATAAAGGCAAAGGAAAAATGACATTGCATCCAACTTTTCTATTAGTGTTTTAGGGAGATTTACAATGAATCACCACAAACTTCCTAGCAGAAAATTCTCACCAGTCTACCATGAACACCAACCACAAAATGATACCAATCAACCCATCTCTTATACTAAGCGGCCAAATCCAACAATTGACCAATCATGACAATTAATTAGTTCCTCTCACCATCGGCAGTGGAGCGTGATTGGCTCTTGAGGCGGAGGGAGGGTCTGAAGCGGGTGCGGTCATTGAAGCTCCAGCTCTTCTGGACTTTGGCAGGGCTGGTGCCCTCCGTACCCCCAGCCTCAGTCCCTGGGGACCGCCGGTCGCTCATTGACGTCTGCCGGCTCTTGATACTCTGCCCCCTGGGGCTCGCCATCCGGACCCGGTCTTTGAAACTCAGCTTCTGGCTGTCATGGGGAATGGATCGATGGAGGGATGGAGGGATGGAGGGATGGAGGGATGGAGGAATGGAGGGATGGAGAGATGGAGGGATGGAGGGATGGAGGGATGGAGAGAAATGGTGTGAGTGGAACAAAGATATACACACATATCAAGATCAAGCATAGCAGGTTGGTTGTCGGGAACAATTAAAACAAAATGCAATTGATTGGAAACTTTTTACAGGAGCCTTTCACCATTTCATGACTTTGTTAATTCGTTTACCCAATCCTTGGTTGCTTCACTGGAGAGCAAGGCATTTAAATGAGGTTAGATTGATGGGCATATTCAAAGACCAGCATGCATTGCAGCCTATTATCCAAAATGCAAGCGCATAACAGGCAAAATGCTTCAGTAGGTACCCTACTGTTAGTATGTAATTATGATTGTTTTGCACTCAGCTCGCTCCTAAATATGTGACCTCAGCTGGCCAATCCCTGTCTCTCTGACTGGCAGAGTCACCATTGGAGGAGCTACCATAGAAGAGGTACCATAGGAGTTTGTGCAGGGGAGGGTCTTGTATCATGGATAATCAAGAACACCAGGGGAATAGGGTGAAGTGATGATTTCATGAAACTATGTGATTAACTATTCATGGGGTGTAATATCCAAGGAGGGACTGCTGAGATGGTGAGGTGCAGGGTGGAGTGCTGAGGTCAGAGTATGGACAATGCTTTGTACAGGGTTTCCGAGTGACAACATGCAGGGGCAGTGGAGGGGCCGTGCATAGGACAGGCAGCAGGCAAGGGGTAGGAAGCTATACTCAATCTAACCGTGACTGTTTTGGTGATATGAGTGTGAATGGTGTGAATGACAGGAGTTGAGGTAAGAGGCAAGAGGAGTTGATAAAACCTCCAGAATTATTGAAGTTGATAGTAAAATATCACAATCAACCAGTTAGACAGCATATCTGTTCAGTGGATCTGTTTTTAAGACCTTACCAAATAGCTCTACAGTCAGTAATAGGAGTAATAAGAGTTATTGTACAGTAGGAGAAGTGGTTAAAATCATAAGACAACAGGCAGCAGTTTCAGGCGCTGTCCAAAAGCAGCTCAACATTGTTGCAAAGGTAACTCAGATACTCAGAGAACTCCCAGAACCTATAGGCGGCCATTTTGAGAACCCCCAACTTTCTCGGATATCGAATCCATGCATCATGAATACATTTGTTGTCATTCCCAAAGTAGTCCGAGCGGGCAAGGGGGGATGCTGTGTACCTAGTATGATTCCGTAGGGTACACCTCCTCAGTAGCTTCTGCTTACTACTGAGAACCTTACTACAAACCAGAGGAAAGAGATTAGGTAAGCAAATATATGTGTTTATAATATATGTGAACGTCTTTGTATAGGTTATGAATGCCAATGTAGCTTCTATGAATGTCTATGTATACTTATGTAAAGATGTCATATGCCTTTATGTCTACATATGAATGTTTTTTATAATCTAATCTATACAATCACCACCTTAAACTAAGTGTATTAATGTTTATGTACAGTATAGTTTATGGATGTAAATATAGCTTATGACAGGTGAAATAGTCATATATGTCATGTACATGAAGGCTTTATAAGCTCAACATGATCACTAGGCTTCAATCACACTAAACTAAAGCGTGACCAGAGATACTGTAGAACCTCTGTACTTTGTCAACCACTTGCTGACATTTAGAGTGAGAAAATGAAGAGCCTAGGTATGACATCGTTTTTAAAAAGCCTATCATTTGATAATTCAGCCCCACTGTCCATGTCTCTCATTTAACCATAATAATTCCGCTGGGAGAGAGAGAGAGGAACAGAGAGGGAGAGAGAGAGAGGGAGAGGGAAGGAGAGAGAGAGAGAGATAAAGAGAGAGAGAGAGAGAGATGGGCGCTGAGTCATATGTGTGGAGGACGGTAAACTTTTAGAACAGACACCCTGTTGGACACCAGAGGCTTTCAGGGCCATTTGCACTTGGTTCAATGACACTCAAAAATGGATTTTTATTTATTTATTTTTCTCCTGCAGGTTTGAGGTGGAGCCCTTGACCATGAGAGGGGTTGTGAATTGAATTCAATAGGTGGAGGATGCTGGAGCTTTGTTCTCTCTCTCATTCTCTCTCGTTCTCTCTCTCTCCCTCTCTCTGTCTCTCCCTTGCTACCGACATGCTTTTCAAGTGTTCGGGTTTGCGTGGGATGGATTCTGTCCTCACCCTCTCAACTCTAGGCAACAATGAAAGGTTTTCTTTTATCTGGTATTCTGTTGACACTTTACACTTAGTTTGGAAATCTCAGCTAAAAAATAACTACATTATCGACACAAACAAAGGTTTTAGTGGCCCTCAGGTTTTTAATTCTGTTTTTCACTTTAAAGACACACGCATTCTGCTTTCCCTACTGTTGTGTAACGACAGCTAAGACAACATATTACATCACTCCTAGCGCCCACAGAGAGAGAGCGAGTGACGGAGAGAGAGAAGAAAGACAGAGTGTTTTCTCTCCCTCCTCTATCTTTCCTCTGTAATTTAGTGTCCGTGTCACTCAAATCCTGTTATACTGAAATACACACAACACACGACTGCAATAAACACAATTATTTCTCATTTTAGAGAGAGAGAGACAGAGAGAGACACAGAGAGAGAGACACCCCACTGCAATCATTTCCTTCCTGAAGAACACCTCAGGTATGGAGAGATGTAGTGAGAGAAAGGGAGGAGAGAAAGCAAGAAAGAAAGAAAGAAAGAAAGAAAGAAAGAAAGAAAGAAAGAAAGAAAGAAAGAAAGAAAGAAAGAAAGAAAGAAAGAAAGAAAGAAAGAAAGAAAGAAAGAAAGAAAGAAAGAAAGAAAGAAAGAAAGAGTGAGAGAGAGAGAGAATGAAAGGACAAGAGCTGAGAGAGAATAGGGGAGTGGGAGGAATAAAGAGACAGGAATAATAAAAGGAGAGAAAGAAAGATAGATAAACACTAAAGAAAGAGGGGGAGAGGCCCAAAGGAGAGGTAGATACTGACTAAGTAATGAACTTGTGACTGTTTCTATAAATGGATCCATTAAGTTAAGAGCTAGGGCCAACGCTTCATAACTAGCTACCTTTCTCTACAATAGGTCACCGACTGCATATTGGCACTTTCAGCAGCAATACACAGTAAATCTAATGGTGAAAACGCAGAGTCTATGTCCCAAATGACACCCTCCTCCCTATATAATGCACTACTTTTGATTAATGTCCTATGGATAGAGAGAGCCATTTGGGACACACACAGTTCTGAATAGTGGCTAAAAGCATTGACATTTACATTTTGGTCCTTTAGCAGAGCAGACAATCTTATCCAGAGCGACTTGCAATCAGTATATTCCATACAGGGAGTATGGAAGACATTATCCCCAACACACAGGGTTCAGACTTACACCGGTAGTTGTGCTGCATTTGGATCTGTGCAGAAAATAGATAAACAGTACAAGTAGGAGGTACAAACCTTGTGGACGATTCACCCTGGTCCTTCCTTCAGTTGAGAAGTGAGAGAGGGGAGAGGGTAGAGAGTGAGGAAATATTCATTGCAAACATTATATACCGCACAAACGAGTAGCAAGATGAATTTGAGGGGTTGTCATCAAAAGAGAAGCTGAGTATTTGAGGCAGCATTGCATTGTGCACATGAGCAAATCACAAGTATCTCACCAGACTAAACAGAATCAAGACTCAAGACTACGTCGGCAAGCACAATGCATTTCAATGCAGTATAACTATTCAGGCAAACTCAGAAAGCTAGCAGTGTGTAGACAGGTGTGTGTCAGCAGTGTGTTTGTGTGTGTGTGTGTGTGTGTGTGTGTGTGTGTGTGTGTATGTACAGTACCAGTCAAAAGTTTGGACACACCTACATTATTCTACAATGTAGAAAATAGTAAAAATAAAGAACAACCCTTGAATGAGTAGGTGTGTCCAAACTTTTGACTGGTACTGTATGCATGTTGTCTATCTGTCAGTGAAGCATTTAGCAGATGGATCTCCAATATTTCCAGGCTCCACAGCATTCCATCTGCATATTTACTAGTCTTGAAACACTATTGGCAGATAATACCAATACAGGCACTCCATATCTCCCAATCACACAAGGCTATTCCAGCACAGTGGCAATCCAATGAGACGAGAGACGGAGAAGTGGCTACACATTCAATAAAGCCTGATTGGATCATTTAGACACTGATTACCGTCATAAATGGATGGGCCATGTAGGATGATTGCTAAATTCACTGCCTCAGTTGAAAGTGAGGTACAGACAATCTCAAGTCTTCAGTGAATCTAGAGCTTAGCTAACTGTGTTATGTAGGTTCTAAATGGTACCCTATTCCCTATGTAGTGCACTACTTTTGACTAGGGCCTGATCAAAAGTAGTGCACTACAGAGGGAATGGGGTGTCACTTGGAATGCTACCTTAAACTGTTAGACTGATGGTTTGAGCATATACTGGGAGATATGATTTGAATGCCTGTTGTGTTAGCTGGATAGAGGTGTAATGGGGTATTGTCTACACTATTGGTTTTTAGTATTATTTATTGAGTTCTTGGCACTACAGTTTGGATGAAAAGGAACCTGGATAATATTGGTATTTTGATGGCTGTGAACCATTTACTTATAATAACAGAAGACAAATTATACAAATATAAATGTATTCATTCACAGAAAAGAAGGAAGTACATAACTAAAATAGAAAAAAGTTAAAAAGAAGTAGAAAAGAAGTAGCCTGGTCCCAGATCAGTTTGTGCTGTCTTGCCAACACCTATGGCCATTGTCACACCAAACGTGCCAAACAGATCTGGGACCAGGCTAGAAAAGAAGAGGAAAGGTAACAGAAATACTTAATTGGGGAAACAATAAGGGAAAAGGATTGCTTAACAGGGGCACAGACACCAAACTCAGACACCAGCTGCCAACGTTGTACCTACTTTGTAGGGCTGCAGGTATGCAACGCCTTCAAATGAGGCTTCCAGGTAGCAATGGAAACCGAGTTCTCATCAGCCGCATAACTACGCCAAACACACTGCATGCAGAATACACAGAAAACCAGGAGGATAAGAACAAAGAGACAACAGAGAGAAAACGAGACAAAGACAGATAGGACAAACAGTGGAGGACGGATACAAAAAAAGAAAAAACCTCTGATTAGTGATAAGAAAAACACAACCAAACAATCACGGGTCAAAGGTCACGCGTGAGTGACACGTTCTGTGGCTGGGCCGAGTTCGGAGGCCAGGCACGATGGGGGTACAGTACATGCCTGTGGGGCTGGGAGGGCAGGAGGCTCACGTGGTAACGCCACGTGGCGCCTAGATACGGCCTGGTAGAGCAGTCGGTGGAGTAGTAGCGCCACGCAGCCTGGTGCGGTGGGAGGATGGTGAGGAGGAGAGGGGAAGGGGAGGAAGAAGAAGATAGCGGGGGAGGAGGGTAAGGAGGAGAAGAGGAGAAGGTAGAGGAGGAGGAAGGCAGGACAGGAAGTGAGGGATAGAGGGATACACAAAGGAAACCACAAGGTGAGGTCACAAACAGGAAAGAAAAGAGGAAGACAAGAGAGATGCAGGGAAGAGGGAAGGATAGCTAACAGCTAAAGCTTGGCTGCCACTCTTGTGGGTAGAGTGTTAGGAATTGGGGAGAACGGACAGAACCTAGCTTGGAAGCAATGGAGGACCCGGGGTTAGAGGAGGTCACCCTACATGCTGGTTCCTGGGCATGTTTGGAGGGTTTGTGAGGGGGAAAATAGAGACTGGATAACAACAAAATGACTTTTAGTTTCAACGTCACCAAACTACACATTCCCAACAGTAAGGTAAACTATAGATTCAATCAATGAGAAACAATCACTCAATAATGACAGCAATCAACGTGTATAAAGTGACATCTTGAGGGTTTGACAATGAGTATTTATCTCTGGCACAAACATCTATAATGATGTATTCATATCCCAAGGGCAATTTCAATTGACAATACCATTAAAGTGACAATAGTCCCAATAGCAGTATTGAAGTGAGGCTGTGTCCCAAATGGCACCCTATTTCCTTCATAGTACGCTATTTTTGACCAGGGCCCATAGGGCTTGGTTCACAAGTAGTGCACTATATAGGGAATAGGGTGCCATTTGGAAGGTACCCTGTGTGAGATAGATACAACAATTTGTCTTTACCTGGATGAGACAAGCGGCTGGGTTCCTCCTCTTCTCAAAGTGCTTCTGTCTGTGCTGCTCCTGGACCTTCAGGGCAAAGCCTGAGCCCAGTATACCCTGGGAAGACACAGGAGGACATTGGAATCAGGTGAGAAGATGTAAAAGCGCTCTTTTGTCCGCCATTTTGGGTCAATGCCTCATTTGTGACTGTGAACAACATGTGAACATGAAGTCAGATTGGGGAGGTAGCTGTCTAGTAGAGTAACTGAATGGATAAAATCATGTAAGTAGTGTGTGTGCATGTATTCGCCAATTTGTGTGTGTGTATGTGTGTGTGAACAGCACAGTATGTACTCACCGCTGGCAGGGCAAAGAAAGAGATACCCAATAGTGCAAAGCCAGCCGAGAGCATGCGGCCGGTCCATGTCTTTGGGGTCTTGTCCCCGTAACCAATGGTTGTCAAGGTGATCTGAGAACACACACAAACACAATTATATCTTGAGAAAGACTCCACTATTATCTATGATAGATCCTCAATTATAGTATATGGAGCGAAGCCACCAAATTAAATACCATCAATGTACATTTGTGAGGGTATTGAAATTGTTAAAGAAATTGAACAAAATGGCTGCAATTTACACTATTTACTGGTAATGCGTTGCTTATTTGGGGGTTCATTCACTAGAAAAAGTATTGTATGTGTGATGATAATGTATCTCTGCTCTTTGACATTTATATCCCTTCATTGGCTTATTATATAGCTCTAGTTAAATCTGCCTTTTCTCTCTCTCTCTCTCTCTCTCTCTCTCTCTCTCTCTCTCTCTCTCTCTCTCTCTCTCTCTCTTACTGCTATCTAATTGACTGAAAAGGACAGGAGATAATTCTCTCTGGGTTTTCCACCCATTCTGCCGTGCTGGGCTGCCGTTCATGACAAAGAAGGCCGTGGCCATTTTGTGTCATTATGAATTTTGGAGGCAGTATGAAAATGGTGGCTAATGGTGCTGGGGCTAATGTATATTACGAAGAAGAAGGTTTTTAATCAAAGCTTACGTGCAGCAAAACAGGACGGACATAGAAAGAAAAGTGCCTGGCAAAGAATGAAAGCACTTTTTGCTGGCTTCTCCTTTGGGTGGCGAAATAACGTGAAAATAATAATACTGAACATTTTGGAGGTAAATACTATTTGAATAAGAGCTTAATTTCCTTGTTGCCCAGAAACCAAATCAGGGACAGACTGTGCCGCTGAGTAGAAATATGCAACATTCAATTAATAGAACATTAAAAAAACAATGTTAATAGTGTTTGAAAACAGTCATAGAAAAAAGGACCCCCAAACTGGCAAACATGGACCAGTCCAACATCATCCACTGTCCACTGTGGACTCTCCCATTATGAGGGTAGACAGGGGAGTATCTGTAACTTTACTCACCGTTCCCCACCATAGGGCATCAGCATAGGTGGCAAACTCGCTGTTGAACTTGTTCTCCACAAGGTAGACCAGAAAGGAGGAGAAGATCAGGACCAGGAAGCCAATGTACCAGGCCGTCACCAGCTCCTACAGGAAGATCATTTTAATTTTATTAGGATTCCCATTAACTGACGCCATGACGTCAGAGAAGACGTCTCCCGAGAAGGAGAGAGGAGAAGCATAGGCCTAGAATAGAGGACGGTAGGAGGACGAGGAGGTAGGAGAGATATAGACGGATCTGCTAGAAGTGTCTTATAGGAAGGAGCTGTGATCTGTCGCTTCCTCGTCTCTTCGCAGTCGCGCGCATTCTCTCTATTATCTTCTTTCTTCTCTTACTATTTCTTTTCCTCTTCTCTGCCGGCCTTTTCCCCTTTTCCCCTCGCTTCTCTCTTCCTCTTTTTCCCCTCCCCCTTTTTTTTGTTTGCCGTTTCGGCCCCCTCGCCCCTCCCCTCTTTTTTTTCCTCTTTGGCCCCCTCTCTCCTCTCCCCCGGTCCCATCCCTCCCCCTTCTTTTTTTCCCCCTTTTCCCTTCCCGGGTCCCCCTCTCCTCTCTTCCGGGGGGGGGTTTTCTTCTTCCCCCTCTCTTTTCCCCCTCTCCGTTCTTCCTCTTTTCTCCCCCTTCTCCTTTTGCTTTTTTCCTCCTCTCTGGGGGTTTTGCTCTCCCTTTCTCCCCCCCCTCCTCTCTCTTCTCGCTCCCCCCTTTGCCCCTCCCCCCCCTTCCCCCGGCCCTCCTCCCTTCCTCCTTTTCCCTTTTCCTTCTTGGGGTTTCTCTTTTTTCTTTGGGCCCTTTGGGGGTTTCGCTGGTTGTTTTTTTTTCTCCCTTTTTTCTTTTTCTCCCCTTTGGGTCCCCCGTCCCCTTTTTCTTTTTTTTTTCCTCTTTCTTTTTCCCTCCTTCTTTTCTCCCCTCTCCCTTTTCCCCTTTTCCCCTTCTTTTTCTCCCTTCCCCTTTTGCGCCTCTCCTTTCTTCTTTTTTCCCCCCCCTTCTTTGCTCCCCCTCCCCGGGCTCCCCCGCTTCTTCTACCCTTCCCTCGCGTTTCCCCGGCGTCTCTCGCTTTTCCTTTTGGCCCCGCCTCTCGGTGCTCCCCCTTTTTCCCGCCGGCCCCTCCTTTCTCTTTTCGGGTCCCCCTTTCTTTTCCCTCCCTCCGGGAGTTGGGGCTCTTCCCTCTGCTCTCCTCTCCCTTTTTCTCCTCTCCCTTTTCTTTGCCCTTCTTTTTCCTCCCTCTCTCCCCGCTCTTCCCCTTTTTCCCCTTCCTCTCTTTTTCCTCTCGGGTTTTTCCCTGCCTCTCCCTCGCTTCTCCCTTTTTTTTTTTCTCCTTCCCCCTTCCCCCCCCGGCCTCCCCCCCCTTTTTTTACGGGTTGCCCCGCTCCCGGGGCCCCCTTCGACGGGGGGCCCCCCGGTTTTTACCCCGGCCCGCCCGCCGGGGCCCCTTCCCCCTCCTTTCCCCCCCGCGTTGCCCTGCCTCCCGCCGGTTTTTTTCCCCGCCCCGTCCCTTTTCCGCCCCTTTCCCCCCCTTTTGGGTTTTTGGTGGCCCCCGGCCCCTTTTTCATTTTGCGTCACCTTTCTTCTCCGCCATGCAAAGGGGGCACCATCCGGGAAAGACTCAATGGGATTAGGCCTCTAACCTGAATATGTTTCACCTGGCTGTGTGTGTTTGTGTGTGCTAGATTAGGGGTTCTAACCTGAATATGTTTTTAAACCCGGCTGGACCCCCCCTTTTTAATCCCATTGGGTAAAAACCCCCGGGTTTTTTGAGGGCCGCATTCCCAAAGGGCCCCAATAACCCCACAAACGTGCCAGGCAAGAAAGGGAATTGTATGCCAGGGGGGAACTAGAACCTCTACAAACTCACCTCTCCCCTCTAAACCCCACAGTAAAACCCGAAATTGGGGCCCGTGGGGCAAAAGGGACTGCTCGCAGTGCAAAAATTTGCCCCCAGAGATTTCCTTGGGTTTTAAACCCCCTCTTTTTCGCAAACGGCCCGACCCCGGGAAAAACTTTAATGGGGGGGGGCACCCAATTTTCCCACCTTTCCATTTTGGGAGGGGGGGCCGGCAATTTGGTTTCATTTTTTTTTAAACAATTCTTTTTTAAAAGCCCCGGGTTTTTGGGTTTTGTTCCCACCCGGGGGGGAGTATAAAAAAAAAAAATGTATTCCCAAATAACTGAATCGCTTTTTGGGGGGGGAAAGAGCGGTCTTTCTTTAAATTTAAATAAAAAAGTAAAAGTAAAAAAAAAATGTAACCCACTTGTTTTGAACACCATGGGTATCTGGGGAAAAAACCCCCACTTTTTTTAAAAACCAAATTTTTATAAGATAAAACAATCCCGGGACTCAACCACAACCCTAAAAAACCCAAACCCTTTTCCCCAAGGGAATGACTTTCCCGAGGTTTCAATTTTTGTAAATTTCCAAAAGCCTGGTTTAAATGCCTCCCTACTCTTCCTAGGTAACATCCCTGTGCCCAAAAAGACAAAACGGGATAATCCTGGTCAAACTAATAATGCTTACTCCCCAAGGGAATAATGTTTTTGGGGGGGATAAACTTTCGGGGGGTGTTTGTGCGTGTGTTTTTGATTTGTGTGTGGGGGGCCCGTGACTTTTTGTTTTTGTGTTACTTTTTGGGGTTGTTTTTTGTGTCGTGTGGTGGGGTGTGTGTGTGACTTTTTAAAGTGACTGTGTGTCTGTTTTGTGTGTGTTTGTGCTTTTGTTTTGTGACTGTTGGGGTGCTTGGTGTGTGTGGTTTGTGGGTTTTGTTTTGTTGGGTGGTGGGGGGTTGTGTTGTGGTGGGGGTTGGAAAATGGGTTTTGTTTTTGTGGTTAGTTGTTTTGGGTGTGGTTGGGGTTTGTTTTTGGTGTTTTTGGGTTTTGGTTAAAGGTTTTTGTTTGTTTTGGATTGGTTTTGGGGGTTGGTGGTTTTTTGGTTTGGGGGGGGTGTAAAGGTTTGGTGTTGGGGTTTGGGGGGGGTTTTTTATTTCCTGGGAAGGTTTTTTTTTTGGTTTTCCCCCCCTTTTTGTTTTTTTTTTTTTGGTTTTTTTGGTTTTTTTGGTTTTTTTTTTTTTTTCTTTTTTTGGGGGTTTTTTTTTTTTTTTTTTTTTTTCAAGGAT